CAATCACACTGATCGCTCGCCGTGCAGCTATCATTCGTGATGGTTGGGGACCTGACCACGGCGCTATGATTGCAGTGGAAGGGAATGGGGATGATATCATGCGTCTTATAGATGATGCCTATCGCAGGGGCCCTACCAATATCGCTCCGGCAACGATTGCTTGCTTGAATGGCCCCAGCAGTTTCACGTTAGCGGGAGCCACGGCTGCCATTGATGCCGTCCAAGAAACTCTGAAAGTCCCCTCATATGCCAAGCTGAAGTCGAAAAGGTTGGTTGTTACGAATGCCTTCCATTCGGGCTTAGTCGATCCTCTGTTGCCTGCCCTGGAGGGCGTTATGGTTGGGATAAATCCTCAACAGCCAAATATATTGTGCGAGAGGGCAACGAAGAACGCGTCCACAGCTACAGTCGCGCCCAACATGGTTGCAAACCATCTCCGCCAGCCGGTCTACTTCCACCACGCAGTACAACGATTGGCAGAAAGACATGGCCCATGTGTATGGTTAGAGGCCGGTTCCAATTCCACGATCGCATCCATGGTCAACCGGGCTCTTACGTCTTCGTCAGGACATCACTTTCAAGCCGTGAACATCACAACTGACCGTGGTATGCAAAACTTAAGCGATGTAACAGTCAGCCTCTGGAAGGCAAGCGTATCGGTAGCCTTCTGGGCTCACCATTCCCAACAGTCGCGAGAATACGTCCCTATATTTCTACCACCGTATCAATTTGAGAAAAGCCGACACTGGTTGTCAAACAAAAAGCTTCCTGGTCCTTCTCAAGAAGAGAGTGCCACACCTGCAATTAATGCGTCTCCTTTACGATTCGTCGGATACCAAGATACCCAGCAACTAGTTGCCAGATTCAGTATCGACACTACTCATCGGCAGTACCGGGAATCTATCGCGGGGCATGTCGTTGCACATACTTCGCCAGTTGCGCCTGCGTCTTTCATGCTAGACTACGTTGTCGAAGCACTCCGCAGCTTACCGGAATGCAAAGGAAGAATACCTCAGGTACTGAATGTCACAAGCGATGCCCCTCTCTGTCTAGATATGTCCCGACAACTGTGGATTGAGTTGCATGCGCAGGATACCCAAAAGCATGTATGGGATCTAAGGTATCTGAGCGAACAACTACAAAGGGGGCTACAGTCCCAAGTCCTGCACTGTTCTGCTAGATTCATTATGTTTGACCCAGGCGATGCACAGATACGTGGCGAATTCGCCAGGTACAGTCGCCTGGTAAGTCACCACCGTTGCGTGGAGCTTTTGAAAGATCCGAATATAAGCGACATAATTCAAGGGCGGAATGTCTACCGAATATTCGCTGAAATTGTAGACTATTCTGAGCCTTACCGCGGGGTGCAAAAGCTCGTCGGAAAGGATAATGAGTCAGCAGGTAGAGTAATAAAGCGGTATACCGGTCAGACATGGGCGGATACATATCTATGTGACTCATTTAGCCAGGTAGGCGGATTTTGGGTCAACTGCATGACGGATCGGGCACCCTCCGATATGTACCTAGCCAGTGGCATGGAGAGATGGATACGGTCGCCAACATACGCTGACCCTACTACCCCTCGACCGGACACATGGGATGTACTAGCAAAGCATGAACGAGGTGATGACTGCTATACTAGTGATATCTTCGTGTTCGAGCCGACAACAGGACAGCTCGTCGAGATTTTCTTGGGTATGAAATACACTCGAGTCAAAAAGGCAGCCTTTTCTAAGGTTATCGGAAAATTCATACCACAATGTGCAATACGTCCACCTGACGCTGACAAGCTTGAGGCTGCAGTATGGCACGCAGCAGTCTCTGTCCCGCAGGCTGCTAAAACCAAGCCCGACAGCAGTGGGCCGAAATCCAGAATTAACCTAACAGCCCGTGTTAAGGCAGTTGTAGCCGACTTCTGTGCCATAGACCCCAACGAAATCACTGATGATGGTAATATGGCAGACACCGGAGTGGATTCTCTCATGGCGATGGAACTCGCTCGTGAGATAGAGGAGACCTTCCACTGTACGTTGTCTGCCGCAGATCTGATGGAGGCAGATACGCTCCGAGACATGGTCAATTGCGTCAAGATTGCCGTGGGACAGTGTGATAGTGACGAGCAGGACAATTCCAGCTGGAGCTTAGAGCAGATAAGCCTCAAAGATAAGAGCCCTTGTAGGGATTACAACACTCCCAACACCGAACCAGCCACCAGTGTTGCGTCAGATACTCCGGATCTCGAGCTACCATTGCAAAGTGTGTTAGAGGCATTCGGAGAGACCAAAGTGCTCACCGACCGTTTCCTGGCTGACAACAAGTGCAGTGGTCGCATACAAATCTTTGCCCCTCTGCAGACTGAGCTGTGTGTCACATTAACGCTAGAAGCATTTGAGCAACTTGGTTCTTACATCCGCACTGCGTCGGCTAGCCAGCGTCTCGACCGAATACCGTTCGACCCACAGCATCAGGAACTCGTCGAGTACCTCTACAAGAGACTTGAAGAAGCAAGGCTTGTTGACCTACACGGCAACACTATCATCCGCACAGCAATATCAGCCCCCGGTAGACCTAGTCTATCAATCCTGGAGGAGATTAAGTGCTGCTATCCCGAGTATGCCGGGGCCAGCAAACTAGCGTATTTCACAGGCAGCAAACTGGCTTCTGTATTGCGCGGTGAACAAGACGGCCTTCAGTTGATTTTCGGTACCAAAGAGGGTCAAGAACTGGTATCATGGATGTATGGCGACGAGCCACACAATATTGTGGGGTATATGCAAATGTTAGACTTCATAAGCCGGCTGGTACAGAAAGTCGTACTAGTAGGAGCGGATGTGGGGACTCTCAAGATTCTGGAAATGGGAGCAGGCACTGGCGGTGGCACAAAATGGTTTCTTCCCGTATTATCAAAGCTTGAGGTGCCGGTCGAGTACACCTTCACCGACATCTCACCAGGATTTCTCGCGCAGGCTAGACGACGTTTCAAAGACTTTTCATTTGTGCGGTATCGTATTCAGGATATTGAGAAGCCCCCGCCCGATGATCTCGTCGGCACGCAGCACATCATTATAGCCAGCAACGCAGTGCACGCTACATCCAGTTTGCAAGAGTCTACGCGAAACATGCGGGAGGCCCTGCGACCAGATGGAGTAGTCCTAATGTTGGAAATGACGAGACCAGCGTTCGCAATTGACATTGTATTTGGCCTCTTTCGCGGGTGGTGGGTTTTCAATGATGGTCGCAACCATGCCATTACCAACGAACACCGTTGGGAGACAGATATGCACACGGTAGGGTATGGCCATGTGGACTGGACAGATGGTCATTCACCGGAGGTCAGTGTACAGAGAGTCATCTTCGCCACAGCGACTGGGACACAAAGCGAACGCTTGCCGCTCGGCAGCCCTCTACAGAAAGTGCATCCAGTACAACGAGTAGATAACACCTGGCGGAGGAAAGTAACTGATGAGTATATACGACGGAGCATTGAGAGTTTCACTCCGCCTGTGGCTTCGCACAACGGCTTTCGGTCAGATGGGCAGGTCGTACTATTAACAGGGGCGACCGGTAGCCTGGGTAGCCATATTGTGGCACATCTTGCTCAACAAAGGCCTGTGAAGACGATATTCTGTCTGAACAGGAGTAAAGCAAATGAGGAGTCATTCCGAAGACAGACAACCGCACTACAGAAGCGCGGGATCTCCTTAGCCGCTCATGAAATGGGTAAAGTAAAGGCAATGGCAGCAACTATTTCTCAGCACAAACTAGGGCTTTCCTCAGAGCAATATGACACTCTCAAGAGCACCGTGACCCATATTATTCATAATGCTTGGCCAATGAATGGAGGTTCGGAGCTATCGAGCTTTGAGAAGCAATTCCAAGCAATGCGTCATCTAGTGGACCTCGCGAGCGACATCGCATGCCATCGTCCCACGGACTCAGGAATTAGGTTTCAGTTTGTTTCCTCTATTGCCACTGTCGGACATTACCCCTTCATCACCAGTCAGAAATATATCCCAGAACAATTAACAAACATTGAGTGTGTATTACCCAATGGATACAGTGAGGCGAAGTTTATCTGCGAGCGAATCATCGAAGAGACTCTCCAGCGACATCCAAATCTCTTCCAATCTATGGTAGTCCGCCCAGGCCAGATCGCTGGGTCTTCCAGTAGTGGGTGCTGGAACATAGCGGAGCATTTCCCCGCCATTGTCAAGTCAGCACAAACACTCAGGGCGCTTCCGGATCTGCAAGGAGATCTCTCGTGGACACCTGTCAATGACATCGCCGCCAGTTTAGTGGAGTTACTGGTGACTGACAATACACCCTATCCAGTGTATCACTTGGATAACCCCGTCCGCCAACCGTGGCATGATATGATACGCATTTTGGCCAGTGAGCTTAGTATTCCCACCAGTAACATTGTCCCATTCTCTGAGTGGATCCAACGAGTCCGCAGCTTCTCAGGATCGAGAGAAGATAATCCAGCAGGTATGATGGCCGACTGGCTGGAAGAAAACTTCGTACGTATGTCATGTGGCGGGGTTTTGTTGGAAACGACAAGAGCGAGGGAACATTCCTCGACACTGGCTGGGGTCGGCCCGGTCACTGAGGAGATTACTCGGCGGTATTTGCATCGTTGGAAGGAGTGCGGATTCTTGCATTAGATGTTAGATATCCAGTAGAAGCTAATTTAGCCCCACTAATAAAATATATTTCGCATTGTGTGCCTCAGGTTGATAGAGTTGGAGAATATATGTAATCCACAGGAATTTGTGGCATTAATTCGACTAACTGTTCGGGTGGTTCTTCTACACATGGTAACCCATTTGCACTAGGCTATATTTGGTAAGGTTTCTCGGCTCTGAAGAAATTAAATGGCTCGGTGACAAATGAATATTTTCTAGCATTTCAAAAGCCAGCGATATTTACTTTACATCTCGTGGAATCCACACTGAGTCGTAGAATATACCATCCCTTAAGTCTTTTATTATCACCAGTCATTAACACTTGTGGAAACGAACAATGGTGTTCCACTTATCGTTATGGAAATCCTGACCAGAGAAGGTCTGACCTCCATGAAGACAAGTGTTTTTAATCAGTTGCGCGCCGTCGGCAATGTTGTTAAAGCTGGGTAGGACTTTGGTAAAGGTATTCTATAATCCATGTCAATATATGCTACTGCAAACAAGCACAGAGCGTGGAAGTACTTACATCATTGCACCACCAAATAGCCGATGACCAGGAACAGCTGACCTGACCACAGCTGCCAGGGCCAGGTCCTCTCTGAGGCTTGCCAGGAACACTTCTCAAGTACTTGATGCCTTGGTCGATATCGCTCTGATAAGCAGAGGGGAATTTGCCACAGACAACATCTCCACGCTTGGCCAAGTGCGATGAAGTGTCTTCTTCCTCAGCAGCGTGTTCGGCAGGCTGGTCAATCTCAGGGACAACAGTGGCGAACTCGGCTTCGTAGTTAGGGTTGATCTCGCGCAGTTGAGATAGGACTTTCTCGACGGTGCCGTTCAGAACGACGGTTGGCCCGCCGGGGGTTGTCTCGACTTCCCATGAGAACTCCTCAATGCTATATCCCTCAATGGGGGACTCATCGGCTTGCACCTGATCAAGGGTTAGACAAAATTTCGCAAGCATAGGATAAACAAGCCACAGCTCGAATATACCTGAGTAATGAGGCCAGCAGCCAGCAACCAAAGGAAATTAAAGGATTTCATGATTGGGTTTTTATCGTCTTGGTAGGATCAAAGAATTGAGCATAAGCAACCCTGTTCTCTGGATATTTTTACGGCTTTATAATAACGTCCTTGCGGCTATATGCCCAGGTAATTAAACGTAGGGTTACATTGTTGTAGTGGACTAATTGTTCACTAATCTACTAGTTAGTTCGAAGCAAAGTCTGAGAGAGATGAAGATGGGGGTAACATGAGAAAGTAGATGCAGGACTAAGACATATTCAGGGCCCAGGCTTTGGCAAGTGGGCCACTAGATCTAACAAGGCTGACAAGCCACAAATTTCGCCATCAGCAGAAAACCCTAACGATACTCACAACATCAAAGTTGGATTTTCTGTCGGTTTGATAAATATTGACTGAGCGCACACTAACTCGCGTTTCATGGCAATGGTCTTGCATTTTATCTCAAGTCATTCTGCGCCATCTTAGAGACCCCCGAACGACAGGGTCTAGAAGCAGCAGGAATTATATAGGCCCAGTGGGTCAAGTTCCCAATGTGAACTTGCTTCCTCACTTCGTCATAATGGAATCATTAGGCATGGTGCCAATAGATCGAAGTAGGGTTACGGATCCTCCGTGCATATTTCCTTTTTCAGACATTAACGGGGCATCTATATCTGCTTTTTCGATTGTACGTCCATTGAGAACCAACGAACCACCAACCGATATTCAGATATCGCGTGAGAAAATGCTTCAGTCGACCATAAGCGAGACTAACTGGGTATCGTAGACCCACTATCTCGTCCCCACTGTCCACATATTGTCTTACTATGTTGGGGGCGGAATCTAAGTCCGAGGCCTGAGAGATGAGCAGAAAGGAATGTTGCTCTCTCACTTCAAATGGGTCATCAATCACACCATGTCATGTTTTCTCTCCAATTTTGGCTCAATGGCCATGTTTGGAGATCACTGTTTTTGGCAAGACTTGGGAAATCACGAACGTCAAAGCGCATTTCCAGGTAATGCGAGGGATACGTCACTGCGGTCAGACCGTCTCCTGCAATTACGTTCCGTTGGATGCTTGGTGAGTGTAGGAACCCTAATTACTGTCAAAACCACCAACATTGCCTGCCTGAATACATTGATAGTTATGTAGGTATCAATATAACCGGACTATCCAGAACCCCAATTTATCACAGAACGACGAGGAGTAAACCTTTGAGTAGATGGTCATCCGGAACTGCGGGAGTTTGCCCTGATCGAGATAGGTACAGGCTGACTTCAGAGAAAAACACTTAAGCATGAAGATGATATACCATAAATAACACATGCAATAGTTGGACTTTCTAGGGAATGATCCTATATGTTAGTTGTGGTCTTAGTTGTAATATCTAGTATGTAGGAAGAATAGGTTTCTTTCAGTTTGTTGAATCTAGTCTATCACTGAAAAAGGAATGCCTGAACTACACATTGCTGAATCTTCCGTGGAGCTTACCAGTCCACGCGGTGACAATGGATATTTGAAATTATGAACAAAACTTGAGATAAGTAGCGGAAGGTCTAAGATATACTATATAAACTGGTTGGGTTGGCCTTCTTGGCTCCTTTGGATTCACCTTCGACGTGAGATTATATCATAACAATCGTCTGCAAGGCCACTCAGGGCCTTCCCATTCCTTTTTTAACGCATGCTTCTGTTACTTACCATTGACGCCATGTCTATCAACCGCATGAACATTGAGTATGTGCTGAACTCAGTTGAACCAGATACTAGCAGCTACGATAGAGGGCACACGCCATTTGACAGCTCAATCTACGAAAGCTATCAGTCAACTGATGATGCCCAGAACTACCACGGAGCAGCAACCTTCCATCATCCATTACCAGAGTTGCCATCGACTCCGCAGCGGCATGTTTGTATGAATTGACGCCATAGATATTGGTCTGCTAACAATGACTAGACATACGGCAAGCCCAGATTTTGAGGGGTTATGCTTCTGCCCTTGGTGCCCAGATCGGTGGTTCGGGGATGATGAGATCGATGCTCATGTTGTGGGCCATCTTCAAGAGGTCGACCAGTCCATTTGGGTCGGCGACGGGAAGGACCATAGTATCACTCTTACCAAAATGGTAGCCCATATCATGATGTGTGTGGAGCATCCTCCACCATATTGTTGCACGTATCAAGATGGCAGTCCATGTGGCACCTTTCAAAAACCAAAGGATCTGATTGACCATATCTACAATGTTCATTGTCCCAGGGCATTCAAGTGCCCCTGGCACCCTTGTGAGGGGCCGAACTCTGTTCACTTTGACTACAATGGGTTAACGGAGCATGTCAGAAAATACCACCTTTTCCCAATCTGGTACGTGTGTGGTTACTGCCACATGGTAGTGAGAAATCGGGTTGGCTTTGAAGCCCACGCATGGCATAGAAGACACCTTGAAGTTGAATGTGGCTATTGCGAAGATGATTAACAGTCACAACTAGTTTTATGTTCTTCTTTGTTTCATTAATTTTCCACTTTGGTTTCAGCTTTTCTTTTGCCTGTTTTTCTAATTACTATAGTACATTACGTTTACGACTTCCCCGACAACGATCATTACAAGGCTATCAGGAGATCACCAATCTGGACATTCATATGTATGTACTTGAATTTACCAAAGCAAACCATAGTCATTCTTTTAAAAGGTTGGTAGCCATAGCCTGGTAGACTATCGTACAAAAGGTCCGCCTTGCCTTCTGAATGGCAACGCCTGTTGATTGCAATTTTTTAATACTTCTCGATGAAATCCTAAGTCCTACTACTTTTCTGCTACACAATCTAGTCCCAAATATCTTCTGTTAGCTTTGTTGTATTTTAGTGATAGTGAGTAGATAAACAGGAAAAGTAGAATAAATACAAAAGTGAAGAAATATATCTATACATGGACTAGGGTACTGCCAGTCGTTGCTGGAACTGGGCTTGACCCAAAAAAGTAATGTATGGCCTGAGGTATATACTACTACACATATTGCAAAAAGGTGTGAATGCTCCTGGTTCCACTCCTACTAATTGCTCAGAACAAACTCGACATATTCACATCACATCGCCTTTTCACTTTATCACACCAATCAAGTACCCGAGTAAAATGACTCCAGTTCTCCTTCTGATATTCAGTTTTCTTTTTCTTGCCTTTGCCAACCAGCACTCTCCATGCGTCAACGTCCACATGATCGTTGCCCGACAGAGTACCTCCTGGCCAGGGGAAGGTCGCATGAAAGAGCTGGCCGACCATATCAAGCAACAACTCCCAAGTTCTGACTCCGAAACTCTCCAGTATCCGGCATATGGCGATATCTGGCGATATCGCTCTTCGGTGTTCACTGGCGACAAGGCTATGCTCGCTGCGATTAATACTTATACGTCACGTTGTCCAGATTCGAAGATTGTGCTTCTAGGATACTCCCAGGTGCGTTGCTCGTTTGGCCTATTCCGCTTTACCCGTTAATAGGAGATAGGGCGCCCATATTATCGGTGATATTCTTTGTGGCTCCATTGTCGAGAGAGGCTTTCCAGCTATCCCTCCGATTAACGGTTACCTGGTGAGAGGAGTAGGTCAGAGTAGCTCTGACACCCTGGCTAGCTACTTACCAGTCTACAGTTGTTGCTGCGGTTTCAATGGGGGATCCTACATTTGTGCCAGGTCTTCCGTATGACCTCGGGACAAGCAAGGACACTGGGGTTCGATTATCCTCTCCGAGCTAAAACTACGACTAATATGCAGGGCCAGAAATTTCTCCGTATAAACAACACGGTCTGCACCGGATATGACTCCATTCGGCGTTCGTATTGTGATGACGGCGACATATATTGCGCCCCGGGATTTTGGTTTGGGGTTCATAGAAGATACGTTGCGAGATACAAAGACGATGCGACACGTTTCGTGCTTTCGAGAGTCAATACAACAATGCAACAGTGGTGACATGACGCTCTTGGTCCCAGGTCAACATGTGGTAGGTATACTGGGTTTCAGAGATGGTTTCGCTGCGGAACGGACATTACTGATGTCAATATAGCTGGAGCTCTAGAGTTTCAATCTGTTATGGAGGGCTTTGGCATCTAAATCAAATGGCCCGTATGTCTACACAGCTGTGCTCTTAATTACGGAGGATCATAGCGGCCACTCCACAATAACAGTTTCCCTCACTAAGTCCATTTACCGCTTTCTCAACCGCTTCCTGTATTAGTTTATAGAATTGCCTATTTACTATCTTTAATTCTTATAGATTACCACTGTACATAACTATGCCTTGTCCAGCCATTGATCTTGAGCCATACAAGGCTGAGATTACAGCTTTGTACTAAAGAATAATAAGTCAGTAGTAGAGTGGCACGGGTTCCCCGCTGGACCCGACCCGAACCCGCCCCAACCCGGCTCTGGGTCGGGGGCGGGGATAGAAGGCTGAACCCGCTCCGGGTTACGGGTTCTAGGGCCCCAACCCGCTCCGGGTGCCGGGAACCCGAGCGGGTTTTTCTTGGCATTATAATATCGATTTTCTAGATTTTTTCTAGATTTTTATATAGATCTAGAATATATATATATATATTTTTAATATCAATTCTATATATATAGAATTTGTCACAGATCCGATGATGACTCTGCATGATGACTGTATCGTATACCCTGCCCGTTGTGCATATACAGCTCGGAGGCCGAACGGCGACGACGGATCACATATCCGTCGTCTTTTCAATAGCGTATAGTAAGCTCCTTGTCAGTCTTATCCTGTTGGGAGAATAAGGGGCTTCTTCTGGATATAAAGTTAGCCTAGTGTGAATGAAAGAGGAAGGCAAGAATCAGTCTTCTGTCTGCCTGATATCTACTGCTTAGCTTTCAGCCTACGTACCCTTACCTAGTTGACAGGTCTTCCACCCTGAATAGTAGATATTTCCTTGACACCTAAACCTAGCGGGTTTTGGGTCGGGTGCGGGGAGACCTATCAAAAACCCGACCCGCGTGCAACTCTATGGATAAGGTATATTTCAAAGTATACAGCCATCTCCCGCCACTACCTTATATAGAAAATGAAACCACAGCTTCAGATACAGGATTGATAAAGGAATCGTGTGATTAGCTTTATTTTATTAATTCTACAGACATTTAGTAGTAATAATATAAATTGCTTCATTTTCTTTCTTTACGCTGAAAATTCCTTTAGGCTGCCGAACACCCACCGGCGGAAGGCGGTGGGTGTTCGGAACCGCCACTGATATATGTTGTCCTTATCAGAATTAACACCTAGCCACAGAGACCATGTCATAATGCCAACAGCAGCCGCCAAGCCTAAAACTGCTAGCCGCCAGGTATATGTGCCTGTAGCCCGTCCCATCATTTCACATTTCCTTATATAGAAAGGAGGCAGAATAGAGATGAATGTAGCAGGGAGAGTGGCCGGGACTGTAGGCAGCAGTAATTACCCATCCCGAAAAACCAAAAAAAAAAAATTAAAGTGAAGGGGGGGGAAGGAGGTGTTTCATGCTGCATACAGAAATTAATCAAGTTACGCCAAAGAGGCTGCGCGATGTAACCTTAGTTGCCACAGCCCTACCATACACCCCAACAATTAAGGCCTTCTTTGGGGCGTGATCGATTGAACATCCCGGTCAGGGTCACTACTAGTAACTGCCAAATTCATCGCTAGCACTTCCACTCCGTTCGTATAACATTGGCCTGTTCAAGTTAGTCGAAACGGAGAACCCTAAACAGGCCCACTATCTTGATTCGTATTGGAAGCGGGAACATTCGATGCCACTAGCGTAATCTATGCTGGCAATGTCCTAAAAAGTTACAACAGACAACAGACATGCAAAGTAGCTACGCCGCCGCAGGGGTCTAGACATTATTCATTAATCATATAATTCCGCGTCAATGTGTGCTAAATTTGGGAATTGGCTTTGCATCATAGCCTGAGACTATCTATAAGTAATTGGCCGTTCTTTCATGCGACTGGCGTTTTAGGGATAGTTTTATCAATTCCATCTGAAGTCCATCACGATCGCTGAGAAAGGGTCCGGTAAGTGGCTGCACCCCACTGTCGATAGAGGAAAGAACTGTCACCGGAGGGGCCTTTTCTATTCCCACAGGTAAATGAGAGAATGAGTGGAGAAGTGGACCTTCTTTATTGTGCTTCAGCTCTTCTATGGTCATTTAAGAATATAGCGCTTCCCACTAGGGCTTTGGTGGAAAGAGACCCTGCTCTCAGAAGTCACTTTTACAGGGGTTAGGGAGATTATACTAGAAATTGTATTTATACTCTGTAGGGATCTAGGTAGTATAAGGGATATAAGTGGCATTATAAAATATAAATCCCCATAAATCCAGGCTCTGTGCTCTACCCTAGTAGAAATGTATATACTCAGACTAACAAGTATCGTGTAGTAAAACCGAGCAAAACTATAGGAGGCATTGGGTTACATCTTCTTGTAAAGACAACTATTTCGAAATAAGATATAGAAGACCACAGTCTAGACTTATAAAGTATTATATTTTGCAATCACTGATGCTGAATCTGTAATTAAATATCTCACGCTTTCGTTTGGATAATTTCATGAAGTAAATTATACTTAAGCCACCAGGTAGACTTGGATATATTTCCGGGCCTTCTTCGGGCGTATTGTAAGTCATCTAAACCAAGGCTTCCCAGTTGCACAACAAAAGCTTCATTATAGAGAAGAGTGATTATCCGACAAATATCTCGCGCACAAGTCTAATAGTTATAATGAGCTCAGGAAATAATATAAGCTAGTATTACTTTTTTTTTATATATATATATATATATTATAGCTCAGTGTTAATCGCTGCCGCCTACATAACTTGTGGGCTTGTCGAGTGTTGCATATCAGCCCCTCAACTCAGCTCATTGACGAGCAATAGTGCCGCCTGCAATATAACCAGTCAGGCAAAGGTGTAAGCTGAGGCCGGGAAGAGCAGATAGATAAGATACGGCACCTGACAACAAGTCAACCGGACCCTTTTGGGGAATCTGTTCGGGTCGTATCGCTAAGCAAAAGAAGTGATTGCGACTAGGGCATCCAAGGCCATCTTCTAAGATTATCCATATTCCGATTCAGTCGGCCATATATCATAGTTTACGGGCAGGGTTCATCCATCCTTCCCGCTCGCACCTCAGGTTCGGTTGGAGTACGGCATAAATAATTATAAAAGTTGGCTATATTCTAAAAACAAGAATTGACTGAGAACAATATCTAAATTCTTGGCTGGTTAAACTCTCAACATTGTTATTTCTTCTTATAAAATAAATAGAAAAGCAAAAGGAAGACAGAATAAGATGCATATAATATATTAGGAACCTAAAAATCTCGATCAGCCCATGAGCATATATCTAGGCTAGATATCGTAATCCCTACAAGTGCAGTTACATCAGACCCTCGCTAGTGGCTCATCGGGGGCCCCTCCAAATATTGAGGGGCTCATGGTAGTATTCTGTATATAGTAGGATTCAGATCAAGTGTTCGCGTCTAGGCTCTAAAAGAATACAGATACTTATAAGAGAACTCCGGGTAGGTAAAGTTTAGCTTATAAAAGGGCCGTAAACGCCTACAAGAAGAGAGTATCTATGTCATAATAAAAGCAACCTCTTGACATCAAGGTCTTGTTATCTTTTAATAGTATAAAGTTTCTTACTCTATCTTTCGCCTGCGTTGCGATATTGGCATCGGCTTTTTCGTCCCGGACCCGGAGGATGCCATAGAGATGCCCGCCGTCAGCCCCATTGGCAATTAAACGGCACCAAGTACTGCTTATAGTTATAAGAGCTCCAGCCAATGCGGAAGATGGCCAGATATAAAGAGATATTGCCAAAAAGCTGTCAATACCATGCTACCCAGTTGAGTATTCGATACCAGGTAAGATTTTAACATCCTGTTAATGGATATAATACTTTGTTCATAATCTAAAATAATTCAGCGGAGGCTGCACCGGTAATTACTGGAGTGCCCCTAGTGGTTTAGAGTGCAGTGTTTTTATAGCAGAGCCTCGAGGCTGCTATAGGTCTACCGAGCAGATGCAGGCCGCCTTTAACAATATCAGAGCACACGGGTGCCAGATCTGTGGTTATGTTCAGGACAATGACAACCACGGTGATACCTGTCAGATCAAGATTGATTATATTTTAGATTGTGACAATCACAACTAGTTGTATACATAGTATCTAAGAGTATCTAGTGAAGCTACCTAATACTTCAGGTTATGCAAAGGCCTAGCTATTGCTAGATGATTCTAGAGGTCTACCAGGGTTAAATCTTCGAGTATAGCCAAATTTCAGGTATAGGTGTCAAGATCTTTTAACTTTGATCTGACTTCTTACTGGCTCTTCATTTGTTATACTTTATATGGTGCCAATAATATTTCACACTTTGTTTTATCAGTCTTTCGAGACTGCTTCTCCAAAGGGAGTCAAGTCGAATAGGTTATAGCGAGAGAAAGTAAATTCACTATATATCATTACCTCATTCCATTAAGTAATAATATGCCCTTCCGTCATTGTTTAAGATAAATTGCCGCTTAATGTATATCTTGATAGGACATGCTGACGATGTCTTTCATTATCGTTAGTGATAATGCACGCAGGGTCTAGATCAGTAGTACTAGAATTGCTTCGATACAGCCGCTACCCGAACACAGTGAGCAGGTACATTTGGTATGAGAAACCAGGTAGCACATAACCGACAGTATGACCGTTTCGTGGAACTATTTCCTAACATACTGGCTCATAATATGTTGACAGAGGATTCCGGCTGGCGGCTCTGATTGGGCTGGCCAGTGGGATGATCCGGCTGATAAGCGGATTTGGGACCCACGATAGGTGTTAGTGCTAAAGATAGCTCTAAGTAAGAATAAGATCTTTTTTTTGGGAAAATATTGTCCAGACAACCCTATCAGCTAATCACAGCTAACTACTAACTAGGTAATAAACTAAGTTAACTAACTTACTTATGATAGTAGCCTAGTGGTTTATTAACTAAGAGAGACATTTGGATTAGTCAGAAAGTAAAAATAACATAAGATAGCCCCACAATTCTAATATGATAACTATATCTAGTTGCATTATTTCCACCCTTTCTTATTTTTCTGTTAACAGCGGCCTTGAGGGGCCGCAGGTAGTGAGGAATAGCGTGCTACGGTACCGCAGGGGGTATGAGCGGGTCGGAATAGTATTATTGACTACCTTGTACATTATTAATGATAAATACACGGCTAACGCAGGGCCCTTGTCATTTTTCCTGCGGCGGCAAACGACTCGGGAGCTTCCCTACATCCGCTATATATCAAAGCATTGTACACCCGGCACTGCTGCCGTCCAAATCTCATTCCTTGACATGCATCCATGCTGTCTGTAATGGGGCCTAAGGCCTATGTATCTGCGACTGTCAACCCGTACTATTTAATATGTTACATTTGATGCTTAAGTGAAATGCACTCGTACTGGAGGCTCGAAAGTCAACGGACAATTAAGTCCTATCGCGGACCGCGGAGTTCTCTTGCGGAACTTTTGAATGCAAGTCTAGCCTCTAGGGTAAGCGTTCGTTGCCAAGAGTACATACACTAGCTGCCAAGGCACAATCAATATTGTCCACCGGCCTATAGATGTAACCCGACAATTGCTGCAGGTTATTTTCGCTTTTCATGAATAATTTTACTTGTAGATATCCACCATAAGTCCCTACAATACAACCGCGCTATGACTATTGTAGCCCTCTGGCTACGCCGCAATTCCAGGATACCATGGGGCCTTAGCAGTTCCCGAATCAGGTAACCAGAGGAGGGGGTGATGTGGGTCCTCTTTGGGACTATTCTTTCTGGTTTAGGCCCGACTTGGCGCCGCTTTTTTGTCAGGGTGCAGGTTCGGGCAGGCAGGTAAACAGACGCGTTCGTGCGAAAAGGCAGTCCCAGTTGGCAGAACGGAAGCTTAGCTTGGCACCATGACATTTTTGATTGTCTTTTTTTCTTTTTTCGCACTATACAGGGATTAAAATCTGACAAGGTGACGAATGGCAACAGTGGAAAAAGATTAGATATATTTTGGGCGGTAAAGGCGCCCTCCCAGGTTCTGAATACTGTCCTTAGCCTCTTATTGTTGTGTATATGTTGTCCAGTTCTCTCTCTCACTTCCCCTATGGGCACCGGCTCTACACGATGAGTGCACCCCTTTATCGCCGCCGCCGACCTGCTGTTGCATGTATCGAGTGTCGACGACGTAAAGTGAAATGTGATCGCGCATTTCCCTGTGGCCCATGTGGCAATGCCTCCCTGCTGTGTGGCTATCGTAATCCCAATGATGGATTGGCCCCGACCGATCTCCGCGCTGGCCCGACGGCCACTGATCTGCCTGCTTCCACTGTCTCCGAGGAGGATGGTGCACAAACTGGAGCTGTGTCTAGCTCTCCCATCAACCTCACCTCCTCCTCAAGCAGCGCGGTAGTGCCAGTATACCGCAACTCTTCCCCTTCCCGTCAATGTACACCTTCTCCGGGGATACGGGGATGAATGAAAATGAGCCTGTGGAGCTCCCCGGGCGCACCGTATCCCACGCTAAGAGCTTGGGTTGTGGCAAGCTTTACATCCAGTCGTCATTTGGACAGGTGAGCCAATAATCCCCTCGGGCAAGCTCCGTGGCTGATAATAGATGCTAGTCGGAGCATTTGAACTTTCTGCTGCACAGGTCGGACCATGCGGATATCCAAACGCTCTGGGAACAATGCACCCTTTATGCCCGGATCATTAAGTCGAAGCGATCCATCAAGTATTACACCCAGCTAGGCCCACCGAATATCACCAACAATCTGCTACCCAGGTCGACCTGTGACCGCCTGGTCATGCTCCACCTGCACACATTTGAGTCAGTGTTTCGGGTGCTGCATATTCCAACCTTCATGCAACAGTATGAGCTGTACTGGAACAACCCACAGGGTGCCAGCCGGGCTTTCCCCTCCATCCTTGCTCTTGTGCTGGCCATCGGGGCCTGCTTCGTCTCGGAGGCCGAGGCGGACGAGCTTCAACTGTTGGCGCCTAAGTGGATTGCTGGTGCGCAATTTTGGCTCACTGAGAGCTTTGCAAAGTTCGACATTGATCTGTCTGTGCTGCAGGTCTCGGCCTTGCTGCTGTTGGCGCGCCAAACACTCCCCGACCCGTCTGAGCTGGTCTGGATCTCGGGTGACTTTCCCCTGCGCATCGCTATCGGACTCGGTCTCCACAAAGAGGCGCGAATCCATTTCCCGGAGTTTTCGCCCCTTGAGGCTGAGATGCGGAAGCGTCTGTGGGCTACCATTCTGGAGATGTCTGTCCAGTCATGTCTTGACATGGGCATGCCACCATCCATCTCCAATGACGATTTTGACAGCGAGCCTCCATCCAACATCGATGATATTGATACCAGCAATCTACCAGCTGCAGCGGATATCGCAGATGGTTTTACCCAAAACACCATTCAGCGGATGCTGATGCAGACCATGGCAGTGCGGCTGCAGATCCTCCGCTATTGCGGACCGACGCCCCATTGCACAGATGAATGTGCAATGGTCTCAAAGCCATATGAAGAACTTGATGGGCCTGTCGGCGACGCTGCAGTTGGACGCTGACGTTGTCAGTTCAGATACCAGCGCGGGTGAGGACATGCGGAATCGGTGGCATGAATACTGCCAAGCCAACGACGGACACAAATAAGAGCATCGGAGTGGAGATGGGGTACCGATATGAGTCCTCCATTTGTGTTCCGAGTGAGCTGGATCGTGATGGCTCGCCCCCCCCCCCGAGTTTGATGCACGGCGATACATCCCTTCAACGTACCCGGGGTGTCGAGCACCACATGTCTTTCTGAAGGATGGGACTCCCATCTTCGATCGATACACGCGAGAATTTACCCTGGTGGAATTCCACGACACAGCGCCATCAACCTCAGTGGAATGGTTCCAAATTGCGGCCCAGCGGGGTCGAGTGCCCTTGGGTGTCGTTGCCTTGCGCGGAGAAGACCATGCGCGTCAGATTTGGGGAGCGGACTTGGTCCTGGTCCGACCTGATGGCTTCGTTTCATGGCACGGAAATGAGGTGCGGGATGTGGACACTGCCCTTGAGATTCTCTCCCAGGCGGTAGGGCGGTGACTATAATGTTTATATATATATATATACAAACCGGATATGGAATTCCAAAGTGCCCAAAAAATACTTATACAAGCAAATAGTAGATGCCAACCACTCACTTCTTGTTGTCTCGGTCTTGCTGCAAAGCTTGTCTAGAAATCATATAATCCTCTTTGAATGCATATACAGAAACAACTACTTTCTTCTTTGAAATATGAATCTACGGAGTGAACTTTGTCCATGAACAGCACTTCCCTCAAACATAAGCCACCAAACCGGCGGCTGCCAAAGCCGATGAGCCGACGACCGCCCATGCGATCTTAATAAATTGAGACTTACTATCCAGCGTGCGTCCGGTGGTGGTGGCAAGATACCGGATGCCATTAAAGAGATGGAAGGTGAAGGGCCAGGCGACGAAGAACTTGAGGGCGACCTTGGCGGCCACCGGCAAAGCGCCAAAGGCCGCGACGAGGGCGGCCGAGGACAGATCCCAGCCGAGCCAGGGGGCCACCAGGTAGGAGGTGCCGAAGAGGTACAGGCCGCCGGCGAGGAGAATCCCCGTGTTCCGCTCCATGGCGGAGCTGACCGAGTGCACCTGCCATTTATAGATGGACAGATGGGGCGCCACAGGCCGCCGGAGGCGTTGGCGAGTGAGTTCTTCCTGGGCGGATTCCGGCTTGATCACTTTCAGCGGTGTCGTGATGGGCTTCGTGGTCTGCATCCTGGAGGGAGAGTCGGGTCGGTCAATACATATCTACTAACATGTTATTCTAAATCTCCATCATGTCATACCGAACTTGTTGTAATGGCAGAGCCGTGATAGGTGTAATAGACCGGGATGCTACTACAGCGCGACGTAGACAGAACATAGACGACACTGGGAGCGGTCTGTTTGTCAGCTTACATCGAACATAATGGAGGGAGTGGACGGTCGAACGGTAGACTCACCCTTCTGCATCAACATCACTTTTTTTTGGATGGGCCCCGCCATGGTGAATGGGATGTGGATTTTCACGAGGAACAGAGACTCGGAGAGATAGAGAGAAAGAGTTGGGAAAGGAAAGAAAGAAATAAAGAATGAAAGAGAGTGACAGCCTAGTGGCTTGTTTTACCCCTGCTTAGCATTTATTGTTTGGTCTTGTCACGGGTCCGACCAAGACCTTACATTACGGATACGTAAGTATTAAGTACTTTATGTATTCCTAACTAAATGTGATACACAAGTTTAACGCCAGCCACTTCGCCTTTGTGCACGGCGTCCAAGCCGCCAATCACGCTCTCCAACCCGGGGTTGCTAGAAACTTGATGCGGGTGGGGAATAATTTCGCCGGCGCTCAGGAGCTGCTGCGCAATCCGAAACCAGCCGGCGGCAAATTCTCGGTCCTGGACTTTTGCCGCGCGCTGGTAGGGCTTCTTCCACTGGATAGGCTTGTTGAACATAGTCAAGGAGAGGATCCAGTTCGGCTTCACACTCCGCCGCGTATGTCCACGCAGGGGAATCGGTTCCAGGCTCAGATACTGGCCCCCATTGCAGCCTATTGCCTCGTAGCAGATCTTCACTGAGGGGAGATCGGTGATGCAGTCGAGCGCGAAGCTCAGCGTGTCCTGGGTGAATTCGCGGATATCGTGGCCGCAGGTCGGCGAGGCGTAGTCAAACGCGGCCGCGGCGCCCAGCGATCTTACCCGGTGGAAATTTCGGGGCGAGCAAGTGGTGATGGGTATTAGGCCAGAGCTGTGACGGTCAGCGATGTTCTTACTGTATATCCCTGTACAGCTGTAGCCTCACCGTCGCAGCATTTGAATCGCCAAAGTGCCCGTAGCCGTTCCTCCTCCATACACCAACACATACTGTGACCCATCGGGGATACTACTATTCCTGTCCTCCGGCACGGGCAACCCCCAGGTATGGTACAATGCCATGCCGACGGTGGACAACCCCACTCCTAATGTGGCGCCTGTCGCAAAGGACACCCCGCGGGGAAGTTTGAAGATTAAATCCGCCGGGACGGCGATGTATTGCGCAAACGCCCCGTTCTCCGGTCGGTCTGGGTTATTGCCAAACACACACCCACAGACTCGCTCGCCAACCTGCACAGTCTGGTCGGACACTGCCCTGCCTCGCTTGACGACCTCCCCGGAGAAATCAGATCCAGACGTTGCGCCAACGGTGGGCGACAAATCAGCCGACTTTGCGTCGACCGGGTTGATCGCAATGCAGACCACTTGCACCAGGATTTCATCCGGGTCGAGCTCTGGCACAGGGCTGGACACGATCACCTGGAACTGCCCCGGTGCGGTGATTTTCAGAGCTGTTTGTGTGTTGGGGACTGCCATGGCTGTCTGTCTGTCTCTGGACGACGGATTTCGGGGGAGGGCTCGTACACGCGGCCCAACTGCAGAAAGTGCAGGATCTATAGAAAGTGTATCTTGCGCTTCATAATCCTTATTTTGGCGCTGAAATCTCTCTAGGCCTTCCTTTATAGTTGATCCCTCTGCAATAGCCAACTGCCTTTTAGGGAGCTTCCGCTTTTGACTTTGCCATTCATTATCAGTGCGTAATATGTGTATTTCTTCACGTGCAAGAACAAGCTCATTAAGGTGCAATTCATAACCTTTAATAATCTTGTCTAAGCACTTTTCTAGCGAAGATAAAGGGCTTTGAATACAGTCCCTAAGTAGTTTCTTTGCTGTAGATGCCTGCTTCTCCATCTGCCTAGTAGTATACGGCGTTTTAGGTACTGAATTAGTTGACTGACTGCCTGGTGATGTAGGGGTCTTTAATTGGATATCCAAAGCTAAGCACCCTATCAGGATTAAATAGAACAAGGCCAGCGCCTGCAAAGCTATTTTGAATATTTTCTGCTGTAAAAGCACTTTTGCGAGCTTCTGAAAAGATTTTTAGAAAACCAAGCTTATCGATATGGTTAATCCCTAAGCGCATTTTCTTCTGTACTAAGGTACCGTATGCACCCTTTAGAGACCGGAAACAGCCTATATTTAAAGGCTGAAGTTTATTCGAAGAATGTGCGGGCAAGTAGATAAAAATAATATTATTCTCACTGCATACTTGATCGAATTGAGGCGTAAGATTGCTGCCATAGCCATCAAGAACTAGAAGACAGTATTTCCCAGTTGTACGGCTAGTAGTAGCAGGTATAAAGAGATTTTTAAGCCAGTGAAGGCCTATCTTATTAGTATTCCATCCATTAGGACTAACTTCAATCCTGCTATTAGATGGGAGCTCTAAATCTTGATACCAACTCTCTATATGGACGCTTCCTTTAAAGATAATACATGGAGAAAGCGCCCAACCAGTAGAGTTGATACACTCAATAAAAATAACCCATTCCTGATTGCCTGACTGTACAAGAAGTGCTTTTCCATAGTAATCAGCTCTAGTAACTACTTGAGCAGTAGCTACTAGACCCATTACGAAGCTAGTTTCGTCAAAATTATAGATATCTTCTCGTGCGATCCCATATTGCATAATAGTGATTTGTACGCGATTAAACCACTCCTTAATAAGGAAAAGAGAAATAAAAAGTTACTTACCTTAATAGTGTAGAGCGAACCTTTCCAATACATCTATTACCCAATAGATCCGCCCTCGGACAACCTGGATCATATGAGTACTACCGCCAGCTGCCTCCAGTGCAACCAGCACCTGGAGGAGGCTAGCTAGTAGTATTTCCAGGCTCTCTTCATCGAGCAGTACAATGTCCTCGTGGGTCGACCGGGTATTGAGCCCAGCTGTCTGTAATACCGGAATATAACCCGCTGGGTATAATGGTATTTTTTGCGATATCTACAGAAAAGCTATATATGCGCGAGAGTGGGATAAAGCAGCTATTTATATATATATTAAATAATACTACTGACAAGTGAGGCGATCCCTGATCATTCAACACTACCAGATAGAGAAGAAAATACTAGTGAATAGAAACAGCAGTCCAAAAGGGAAGGAATAGGAATACAGATTACAATAGATATAGTAAATATAATAGATATAATAAACACAGTAGATATATAGACAAAGGGAGCTAGAGTAGAGATATCAGAAGAGAGTAGTGTTATAGAAAGTTCTATACTTAGCAGAGAGAGAGATAAGAAACTAGAAGATCGAATTATATATTTCTTTGACTGGATAGCTAATAGTATATATATATTACTTTACTTGCTTTTATAATTATAATATTGTGATCGTGGCTACGATGTACTGCTACGTAGGAAAGCTACCGGGGGTAGGAGAACCCTGCAGATCCACTAAAAGGGGCTGCCTGACCCAACGTGTATATAAAGACCGTAGCTACCCCCCAGACCTACAGAAGGTCGGCAACTCTCTACCTCTCATAGCATACCGCTACTTGCAATCTCAATATTTAGTTTTCTTTACTTTCTCTAGTAAATATAGTATCTTAATATTCACAAATTGGGTAATTATAGACTGTATTTTAAAATTGTTTCGGTACTATTTTCTTCTCTGTTATTATATATTTACTATATTTTCAGTGTTACTTCACAAACTGAATAGAAACTGAATGGAAACCCAATAGAAAGTTGATAAAATACTAATAGTATTTATACTAAATATTATTATAATTATAGGAAACTGCTGTAATAAATTATTATATTTATATAGCTAAAAATAGAAGGTCTTGGTAAGATTATACAACAATAGTCCCCCGGAATAAAGACCGCTTAGGACTGCGGGGGACTATGGTGCGGTCCTCAGCTATCTGAGAAAAGACCAAAGACCGCACCATTCCTAGGCCTACCCATCTATCTCGTCTGGCACTGCCATAGAAATGTATGCTTTATGACTATGCACAACTTTGTCTGACTCAGCATATACATTGGAGGTTCACCAATGAGAAGCCACCACCAGACTCCCCAGATCGACATCATGATGCTTCTTATCTTATCAACGCCAATCACTTGCACTCAACTTTTCTCCTTTTCATCATCCATGCAACCACCACAGACTCTATAAAAAGAGGGTCAATAACAACCAAAATGCAACAATGTCCACCCACCAACCCATCAAACGGAAACCTGTCGCCCTACCTCCCCAAGAAACAGGGGTTATCCTCACCACAACACCACGACCACGAACCTCCAACGGAAAGACATCAAACACAAACATCACACTGAGGCCAACAACCAGCAACGGAAGACCACCAGAACTATACGCAACACCACCACCACTACCACCACCACCTTACTCCCGAAGTCCCAATGCAGCGCCCCCAAAACCAAAATCTCCAGATCACTTCCGACCATCCCCCCAAACCACCCTCTCAACCCCACCCCTCCGCAATCACAAAAGCACCCCCAATCTCCGCCATCCGCCATCCGCCATCCTCCGCTCCGCAACCGACCTCCCAAGCCCAGGCCCAAACGCCATCCAAAAAGCCTACGGCGAAGTCTCCCACTTCCTAGGAGGTCTCATCGCCCACCCAACAGAATCAACCCGCCACTACACAATCCTCCGCCACTCCCACGGCATAGTCTTCTACCGCGGCAGCACGACCTCCATCGCCATATCCATTTTCTCAGATACACCCCTCCCACAGGACAGAACATACTTCCTCCAAAGTCGCGGCTGGACCGGGAAAACAGGCATGAAAGCCAAAGCCCTTTTCCGTCTAACAGACGACTGGCTAGACGTGACACCTTCATTCGCGCTTCGCGCAAACCAAGTCTCTCCGGGCGACGAACGCGCTTGGCAAAGAGACATTCACAAATTCCGCAAAAAGGCACCCTCGAAGCTACTAAGCCACAAACTCCGCGAGACGATTGTCGCAAGGATTCCCGCGGAAGCAGGCGACGGCTACTTTCAACTGAACCTCTGCCAATCCGCAAAGAAAAAGGTTCTTTGTTCGAGCCCTGTTTTCAGGGTCCTAAGTACATCACTAGATCCCAGTTCATTACGCGGCGCAAGTTTATCAACTATGCCCCTCGAAGTCGGTGCAATGGTCCTAAGTACATACGCACAAACAGCAGCACAAGCGATCCTTAACCCAGTGACATCAGCGGTATCAAACAGATTGTCACCCTACAAACCAGGCGCAGTCACACAAACAGCAGCAGAGACGGCATACTCCCTAAGCGGAATGGAAGATCGTGTGGCGCGCATAAGGAATCGCAGAGGCAACGATGATTCAGACCCCACCGACGAGACAGAAAGTCAATCGAGACAAATCCAAGAATACCAAAAGGCCGCGGCACTGGAAAACGGCCCGCAATCGCCCTTCCCAATGGACTTCAAAGCGCGCACCCAGCCCCAAACTCAGAGTCAATTCGGCGACACATCACGATACACACTAACCAAAGTCCCGGATACAGTGTTGGACAAGCTGCGCGGGTATTTCCTCGCCTGGGCGCGCTATGACCTGGACAGGAGACCGTCAATTACACCTCCTAAATCACCTACTCAGTTTTCAAGTTCACCATACACCCCTTACCATCCCCAGGACACAACATATCTAACCCCATCCAGTTCCCAAGAACCCCAAGCCCAAACTCAAACTCAAAGCCAGAAAAGCCCATGGTACCCGACAATCCTCTCCATCAGTCCCCTAAACCCATCCTACCAGAGTAGGGTGAACCTAACGTCAGCGATGCAAAAAATAGCCCTCCTCCGATTCATCGACGAAATCAACATCCCAGCTTCAAGCAGGGTGCAAATCCGCGTAATGTGCTTTCTCCGTCCGGATATACCTCCCCCGTCTCCGTCTGGTATGACAGAAAAAGATCTTCTGGTCGCGCGAGAAAGGGCAGCTGAAGCCGAAATGCTGGCTGATGCGTGTGATATTGATTGTGCGCAGGCGATACTGGAACATCCGGCTTGGGGGCCGGAGGTGTTTGGTGCTCCTGAGCGGCAGGGGAGTTGGATGGATAGGACGAGAGAGGGGATGGAGAATGCAAGGACGCGAGCGGAGAAGATGGTTGAGAAAGTGCCGCTTCATTGGATTGGGGTCCGGTCGGCGATGGCGGAGACACAAGATCGACAAGTCGAGGTTAATGGGTTTTATATTGTCCGATAGTCGATCTGGTTCGATGTTTGTTTATGTACATTGCTTTGTATTATATGTGGATAATTTAATTGTATAATAGCCGTCTATCTGTCTGGGAAGTAATATGGACAGATGCCAAATTTATAACAATAACGTACACTCAGGACAACGCATTATCAAACCTCCATCCAACCCTTGGGACATATTCACTAGGACTTGCCTTCCACTTCCTCAACATGGCCTTGACTTCATCGTTAAGCTCCAGCTCAGCTGAATCGAGACGTGAAACCATAATTTGGGCCAGCTGGATTCTCAACGTACCATACAACGAGGTATGTTCGTTAGTAGGCCCATCTCCAAGGAGCAAGGCGCAGGACAATATCTTTGCGCCTTGAGGACTTCCCATCACCTCTTCCAGGAGCTTGAAACCCGATAACAAGGTCGGATCCGCCCCACACCTCTCAACGAGCTGCAGCACTCGACGCACAAATTCTTTCTCCGGTTCCTCTACCACTTGATTTACCTTTGGTGACGGGAGAATCGTGACCTGCAAGTGCAGCCACGAAGGGAGCACCACGGGTTGGCGATCCAGACTATTCAGCCACTCCTCGGTTCGGAGGGATTCTACATCAGCTGCGATCTGTTCCAAGGTCCTCTGATAGAGCATTTGTTGTTGCATGCGGTACGCCGTGTCACTATACCCACGATATGCACCTCCGTGTGCTTCTAATCCATCCATAATAACGTCCGTCGAAACAACGAATTTGGCCGGTTCTGAGGCGAACTTGATAGGATGTCTTACAACGACCGCTGCACGCTCGGCATACTCCGCTGTTAGGCTCTCCACGGTAATTCCGTTGGGGACTTTTGATTCCGGTTTTTCATCAAGAAATGCCTGTAATTTCTCAAATGGCTCCGAGCTTCGACAGAAGTCCATGTATTGACTCCAGTGTTTCCCTGCGTTTGTTTGTCTATATTCAGGCTCCTGCTTCGCGATCGCTTCGGTGAGTCTGTCTAGCTCCGGTTGACGAATGTAGGATAGTGCATAGCCGCGGTGGCGGAGGAGGAAGGATGCTGGAAGGTACTCTTGCCACTTATCCAGGATATCGTCAATGATTTTAATGTGGAACGGTCCAAAGTCGAAGGTCTTGAGTAGACTTATGTCCGCGACATTACGGCTGACAAAGGCCTTCATCCAACGGTTGTGCTGACGGGTCGACTTGTCCACCAACGGGGGCAGAATCTTCTCTACGTACTCTGCCCTATGTTCCTCAGGAAGCTTATAGTACGTGTCCTTAACGAACAGGTTAAGGGAGGGACGTTCATCTGTCATCGCAACAGTTGGAAGTTTACCCCCGTTCTCCGCATTTACCCAGTCTGCCTCACTGGTCGGCTCTACTTCTCCAGGCCCTGCAGCTTGGAAGGCAAATCCGGCGATAACGCTGAGTATCACCTTTGTGTCAAACACTTTGTCAAAGAGAGACAGAACAGCTGAGACTGCCCGCGACTGAACATCAGTATGATGACTTTCGTTGAATAGGTTCTGCAGTACAGATATGTTCATCGAAATTGGCAGGGACGTTGCTTCTGCGAGAATTTCACCCAGCATTTTAGCTGTGGTGATCTAGACAAAATGCTTCGGCTAACATGCAATTTCGTTCTGGTCTGAAGCACTCTGATTGTCCTGTCTTTGATTCTGTTCGAGCCTTTGCATGAAAAATTTCGCAAATTGTCCAATAAAGTCTTTGGTCCGGCCTGGTTGAAGTCTCTTACCAGGGCCTATCAATCTCATGTGTCTGTGATACGATGATGCGTCGGGGAGATGTTGTATGACTCGATTTACAACATCAGCAGCTAGTTCCGGTCGATCTGAAAGCCCGAAGAGAACAATGGCATCAGTCACATTGAGCAAAGTAATGTCATGGTCGTCTGACTTCGGAGAAATGTCTGCGGCATCATCCAGTAGAGACATTGCCATATCTCGTAGTAATCTAGCTGGGACTGCCTTGATGAGTTTTCTAAGAGCTTGTGTAGCTCTTTCCCAAGCAGCGATGCTACAATCGCTTGCGTACGTCACAAAGCGATCATCCAATGAGACTGGTGGATATCTTATAAACCCCTCGTTGGGGAAAGGGCTAGAGACGAGTCGCCGTCGGTCCTCGTTGCTATGTAAGAAGAGAATAGAGGATAAAATCACAGCCTCTTGGCATTCAAGAAACGGTTTGCCAGGCTTGACCGTAGACCCCCGATCTAGTGTCCAAATAGACTGTGGATCACCGATAGCTTCCTCCTGTGACAGTACGACGGTCTGAGACTCGGGTATTTCCCCATGCATACGACAATACAGCAAGGTGACAGGGATATTCGTTAGCTCTTCGTCCGCCTCTCCCTCAGAGTATTCACACCTCGGGTCCCACACAAAGAAGTCATGGGATCTCGCAGCCCGGTCAAGAAAGGCAGTAGTTGGTGTCCGAGTATCTTGATCCCGGTCAAGGACCGCTGCCGCCTTAGGCACCTTTAGTGTTTCAGCCAAACTGCGAAGCCATTGTCGAAACACCTGTAGCTGCTCAAGATGCTGCTGGCTTTCAGATGCATAGTTCGCTGGTTCGGAGTTGTAGTATTGAAAGAGGTTTAAGAGATTCTCTTCGCTTTTCTCTTCTCCAATTCCAACGTATGATTCAATAGCGAAGCGCAAACTGTCGGCCCACTCGTTCCTGGATCTGACATCTGGTTTAGGTGTCAATGTATCATGGAATGGGGCTTTCAAAATATCTTCCAGTCTACTCCGGAGATAAGGTGCTGCACTTTTATGCTGTAACGCGCAGTGCGCCCATCTTGTGTTAGGCACAAGGTACTGGATCGGAAGCCCCTTAGGCCAGCCCTTCCCAAGACGGCTGACGGCAGGGTCAGTGTTGGTGCGTGTTTCTTGCCACAGTCTGTCTCTTCCCTCTGCAAGATTGTCCATGAATATAATGTTGATTTGGTATTGCTGTCCCACTAAGTTCTCCTTGGGTTTATTGGTGATTCCTTAGTACTAATCGTACTTGACGGCTGATGGTCCCAAATATATATTTATTACATGAAGGGTTCTTCCATGCTGAGTATTGTGAAAGTTCGTAAAACAAGGGCTATATAACTATCATTGCGTATGAATCTGAGCATTAATCTTGTCTGACATGACAGTGGCCATCCATAAGTAATCCTGATAGATGTACTCTGTACATTTCGAACCCGACATTCGGATAGTACCTGAGGAATCAACTTCTGCCGGAAAAACAAAAGTCCATGAACTAAAAAATAGACGACCCACGTGGGTACCGACAAAAATGCCCGAAAAGGGCCAACTTTATCACAAACTGAAGATAAGATGGATGGGGCTGGTGGGTCACGCATATCATATTGAATCGCATACGTAATAAGCGCCTTATCTGCCCCAGTGACGGTACTAAATTATAATGATGCATTGGTTTGGTATCATTCAGAGTGGAAATATAGCTATGGAGATATTAAACTACCCACGCATATTAGCATGTAATTCGTAACTAAAATACCGGAATTAGAAGAAAGAGTCGAGATAGAATCATTCGATCAGCGCCATCATCTTCCTTCCCCACGTGTCCCTCGGTCGGGGCGGTTTTTCCGCTGCCAAAATCTCCTGTAATCCCGTTTGCAAGTCCACCTCTTCTGGTCGCCACGCCCATGGATCCTTCCAGAACATAATCCGGTGACCGGCGTACAAGACTAAGAAGGCAGGAATACCAATATAGGCGGTGAAGAAGTTGGACGCGGACCATTCCGATGGGAAGAAGCAGGTGAAGCCGTTGATCAGAGTCAAGAAGATCGCGCCACCCATGCCGATATACATGCCATAGGGCTGCATGCGGGAGGAGTAGGGCTTCTCGATGCCTTGCACCTGGATGGCCTTGTTCCATCGGATGTAGATGATGCCGCAGCAGGTCCAACTGATAAACCCGGAGGTGTTGGTGAAGTTGATCAGCCAGTTAAAGACCGTGTTACTGCCGCTCCCAACAGAGAGGTATGCGAGAAAGAGGAAGAGGGAAGAGATGCCGACCGCGTAGTAAGGGACACCCCACCGGTTGCAGGCCTTGAAGATGCTGGGGGCATTGCCTGATACTGCAAGACCGTAGAGAGAGCGGGAAGACATGTAGAGGAAGGAGTTGCCGGCCGACCAGGCGGAAGTGAGGATGGCCGCATTGACGATGTGATTTAGTACGGGAATTCCAGCGTTGGAAATCGCGACAACGAAGGGGGATGAGGAGGCGTCATGGCCATCGCCGTGCACCAGTTCCTTGGCGTTGGAAGGGCAGATCACGCCGATCGCGAGCGAACCTAGGAAGTAGAAGATGACTAGTCGGTAAATATAGCGACGTGCAACCTTAGGGATGTTCCGGCGCGGGGATTCCATTTCACCGCCACTGATCACCACAAGTTCGGGGGCAAAGAGGAACGCGATGGCACTTTTGACAATGCATTGCAAGAGACCGACAAAGCGACCACGGTCACCACCGACCAAATATGTGTTCATGACACCGGGGTCCTTCCAGTAGTGGAAGCCGAGACGCTGACGGTTCGGACCGCCGCCCCAGAAGAGGATGAAGGAGAGGATGAGAAGGCCGATCAGGGTGATAATTTTGATGCTGGCAAACCAGAATTCACTCTCTCCATAGGCACCGACGGGAAGAAAGTTGAGTACCACAATGACTACTAGCATGATGGTAATCCACACAGCGATGTGCACGCTGTTGGGCCAGTAATCGATGACCATGGACGCGGCGACGATTTCATAAGCTGCCAGAATTGCCAATGAGTACCAGTAGAGGTATCCCATGGCGAAACCCAAGCTCCGTGAGACGTAGCGAAAGCCATGGTAGCTCATGGTGCCACCGTGGACTGGCATGTAGGCACCTACCTCGGCGATTCCAGTGACGATCGCATAAATGAGTGCGGAGATGAAGGTGTAGCCCAGGAGAAGCGATAACGGGCCACCGATCACTAACGCTTGACCCGAACCCACGAAGAGACCGGTGCCAATTGTGCCTCCCAATGCCATCAGTTGTACATGTCGATTTTTGAGACCGCGCTGGGTATTCATGTATCGCTCATCCAGCAGGTCGGCCTCCACCATGGCCTGCATGGTGCCTGCCTTGACATCGCCGGATTCAGGATCATGAGAATAGGACGTCGCCGGAGCGACAGTGGGCTTCTCTCCGGAACCCATGTTGCCGTGGTCCACAGTATGTGAAGGATCAACAATCAGAGTAAGTATTTGTTTTTAGGAATGGTCAAGAGTGAGAGATGAGGCCACGCGCGGGACACCCTCGGTTATAAAGTCGCAAGACCATGCGGGCCAAGAAGAAAAAAGCACAAGCCACGGGCTTCGGGCGTAACATGTGTTGCCTTATCTGCAGCTACAATTTTTGGCCAGGGTAGTACTAGTAGTAGTTAGTAGTAATGACCACTCGCCGTATTCGTCTTAGTTTGGCTTCCTTGACGGGAAGTGGTACCGTGGACACTTGGTTGGTTCGCATGCTCACTGGTTGGATTGGCCAAGAAATTGGGCGGAGGTGAAGTTGCGTCCGGTTTGCTGATAAGAGGGAAATCTAACATGCGGGGAAATTTAATACCTGAGGTCTCGACGTCGTGTTGCCCTTGCGGTGATTGGAGGGCGAAGCTCAGGTGGCTTGTTTTAGGGTTCACGCTTATCAGCGGTTGACTTCCTTCGTTTCTTTCTTTTCCATCTTTTTGGCGAAGTGCCCCGTGGCGTCGGATTTCTTAACTTCTCTTGGGCAGAGCTTGGAATAACTGGATAAACAGAACGATAAAGGTCAATTCATTTACAATCATTTTTATTCACTCATTCATGTTAACTGGGAATATCATATCAAAGTGAGAAACGCGATAAGATACCAGGGGAGCCCAGAGATATCAACGAAACCACTAGTAGTAGAGCCTACAGCCTCTTTTAGCCTTACCACCTGCATGATAATCCCTCGTCCACGCCACTCTGCGCACTTAGCTATTGCCCCGGATAGTTAAATCTTAATTCACCGGTCCGGACACCGGTCCGGACGCTGGAGGCATGGTTATCATGCAACCGTCAGAGTGTGTGCACGTCAAAAGGAAGCATATCTGGAGAGACCCACGGGCATCTCGCTTAGGGGTCAGCCTGCATTAGTCGCCGTTTCTGTAATCGTACCCAGCATTATCCAATGTTAGAGGTCGCGTCGACAACTGTTTTGATAGCGGGCCGGTATGTGACAATGCCGGTGACTTGACATACATCAGATATCTCTGACCCATGAGAAGTGCGAGATCAATGAGCATGCGATAAAGTCCCTTTAGCTATTTTTATTTATCCTCCAGTTATGTGCCGTGTAGGTCAGGATGACGTCAACCCATCAAATGCTCATGAATGCTATCTTGAAACGTGTTCAAAGCACGGTTACATGAGCGTATTAACACGTTATACCCATTATACCACTTTCGTCAAGGGCCCATAGGACCGAGGAGAGAGTCCGAATTCAAGTATACTGATCACGACCCCATCCGCTGATCTGATCCCAGTTCACTACCAGAATGCGTCCGCCACGCTGTTGACCCCCACGCTCAAGCCGCCGAAGAAGTCGCATGTCCTGCTGAGTGAGGACTTTGCCGTCCAACCTTCGTTCCCATGCAGCTTGGGTAACCACCGGAGCCAGATCCTCCGCGATACTGGCTTCGTCTCGATTCCGTGCGTAGACGTGCTGGGATCCTACTTCTCGGGAAAACAACCACACGGACCCAACAACGGCATACCGACGTTCCAGGAGCCAGATAATGGGCCAAGTGATCAGCCACAGTTGAAGAATAAGACAGGTAAAGTACACAAAGTTATTATTCCGAGCACGGTTGATCCAATGTGGCGAATAGACCGTAAATGACCGGTTGGAGAAGGACGTGGAGATGTCGATATTGCCTTGGTAGTTGAGGGATCGTAGATGGGAAGTCAAAGTAGAATGGATGATGGATGAGTTGAAGTTCTCAATGTGACGGGTGAACGTGAAGCTGCGCCATCAGATTAGTATCATGTGTGTCAAGCAAACGAATTCAACACACGCACGATTTGACGGGTGATGGGTCCTGGCAGAACCGCTCACACCAGCCCATGAGATCCGGTCCCGCATCATCCTCGACCAACCCGACATTTTCAGTGTCAGTACCGTCTTCTACGCTTGGCAGCCTGATGCCCCTCCCCCTTGGGTGTCGCTTCCACGTACGCGACCGACATCGCCCACCCCGATATAGTTTCTGCCCGTCGCCGTCCCGCGCTACGCGCAACTGATACCAGCCCGCATCGCAATCAGGGTCGCCCACCACATAGTTTGCCATATTGATCCGGAAGTCAAAATCCACCACTGACTCTGTGCGGTTTTCCTTGCGATCATTTCGGTCGGGGTGGGTCTCTTGGTGTGCACCGCGAACACTCAGACACGGTTGCGGGGGAATGCGAGCCTCATGGCTAATAAGACTGTGAAGTGCGGTGGGATCTTCGCTCAAGAAGGGCGACATAGTCGTGGACGGTCGCTCGGTAATTTCAGATCTGTCATTGTCTTGTGTTTGGTTGTCAGCGATGGGGGGTGTCGCTGTGGAAGGTCCAGCCAGAGGAGGAAGAGAGTCGTTGTCGACGTTGTCTAAAGAGGGTTGGCCCGAGACGACCTGTTCGTACGGAGGGGGTAAATCGTTGGGATCGCAATCCGGCTGTAGTTTGCCCATCGTGAGACTATCGTACTGACAGGAGTTGAGAATAAGTGTGTGGAGAGGGAAGTTGTAAATACTAGGAAACAATGAGGTGATGAGACAATTCGTTATCTGTTATGTTGTCATTGTTGCTGCCTGATAACCTCAGGCTTGGCATAAGGCAGAATCCGCAGCAGCTGCCAAGAACTTGTTCCTGCCAGTGGTCCACTAAATGTGGATCTTAAATGTGGACATACAAAGGACTGGTTCAAGAACTCTCGCTGTACTCCGTACAGAGTAGTGATAACAGTAGCCTACACAGTCCAAGACTGCCCAGTCGTTTCGTAGTGCTATTGAGGCCCTTTCAGCTAGTCCTATGCCTGTCTAAACTTAATTCAATGCACACTGCCCTGTTCTTTGTCCCCGCAGCCCGCCAAGTTACTTCCTACATCTTCCCCAACTTTTTCATCCTCGCGTTCTCCACCTAGAGGCACACTCCAGAGACCCCACCTAGTATTCTAAAGAACTCTTAGAGGAAGTCACAAGACACAGTGTCATTAACATGATCACCTTAAAATACACTGATTGTTTGTTCTGCATTAGCCACTGCAGCCGTAAGTTACCATTATACATAGCCGGGCCATATCACTAACATATATACCAGTGTATCAAGAATGACAATATGCGCCTGGAGTGTAAAAGGTTGGATAGCGCAGTGAGCTTGTCTATTGCAGCACCATGGGGCGGCCTACCACTTCACAGCTTGGCTCAAATTACTCTATCAGTATCGCAATTACGTCGCAGCTATCACTAATCAAACCCTGCCGTCTCCCTATATCTGTACGACTAAGTGACGGTCAGGTCTCTCTACATTTAATCACATTAGACCTCCAACAGTGCGGGAACATAGTGAGTACTATAGCCATAGCACGAAGCAGCAGCATGGTGTAGCGGAAGCCTTTCAGTGTGATACTCAGCAGATCGTGAATTACACGAAAATCAATCTTCCAGATCCGCTACATGTGAGTGCCCTCTTGGAATTATAAACACAATAATACTTTATTAATGTTCCAAGGCAAGTTTGTATGATTCAACTTGATTACTAAGTCATTGGTATCACACCAACTGGGCTTCGCGCTCGTGTATCTACCTTGGACGTCGAGATTCTTCTTGTAGAAGAAGCAAGAGGAATCATCGACAAACTAATGCGGTTACGGCCCTAACACCTGATCGCACCACTGGATTGTGAGTGGGGTTTCGCTGGGTTTCCAGGGACCCTGAAAAATGTTGCGTTGCAGGGTTGTCCCCGGACATGGTTACAGGAACGTATGCTTGCTCTATGTGGACATCTTTATCTCGAGTCCTTATACATTTCATACACTCTCAGCCCGTCTGTATGACTTCTGGAATCAACATCTTCACTTATCACATGGCTTTGGACATCAAACGCGTAACTTTACGCGGTTGTTCACCCGACCAAACGGCGTATACAGTGCGCTTGCTTGTTATAGCAAGGCATCTGATACATAGCCTCATAGTTAGACGTTTGGAGATACTGATAACTAATCAGTGATCTTTGGTGGTAGATACAATTGAACAACAACGCTTGGGTTAGCCTTTACAGCGTGTTCCGCCTCGTCGCATGCGTTGTTCTTTGTGCGGAGTTGAAATCGTTCTGTGTAATCAAGCCCATAGCAGGAGAACAGCAATCTCTATTTGGATTGAAAGAGGCCTCTGTGGTAGATGTGTGGTATGGCGCCTTGGCCACATGCGCAGCGGAAAAATAACAACTTGATGTGCGGAGCAGATCGGACCGGTCGACCCAGGTAAGTGTGACCGACACCAAAACAGAACTGAGGGAGGGAGATCGATACTGAAAGGTGCATACAGAACCGTACCTTTCCACACAAATGCTGAGGTCCGGTCATGTAAAACACCAAATCGAAATCACCTGATTTTCTCTGCCCTTGAGCATTAAAGCAGGTTCTAATTCCCTCATCAATCTTGTATGCATAACTCACATGCCTCGATGGTTTGTGATCATGCTACGCGGAGATACATTCCGCAGTCGATTAGTTCATAGTTTCATGCAGAATAATAGAGATCGCCGCAACTCAATTATACGTGGAACTGCTATTTGGGGGTTCGACGTTTCAACTACCGACTCGCGTTCTCCACTATACCCCATCCTCCACGGACCGAAACGCCTCGAGTGCCGGGTTAATTAATTAATTTCCCCACATTTCTGCACAAGGCCCAGTCGGAAAAATTGTCACAACGCCTGCTTCAACATTTCCTGCAATCTAACTCGACTATCTTGCTTGCAAGCGCTTAGCTGGGTCCGTTCCAAAAAGAGACATGGAGCTCTCTTCTGGATCAAGAGCGGAGTATCGCCCGATACACGTGTGGGCCCAGAATGTCTATCAGGGGCATATTTCTCCAGATTATAAGAACAGCTGGACCCCGAGAAGCTAGCTGCCTCTCAGAAACAGAAAGCGCACAGCCAACAACAACGGGCTACCAGTCAGAGCAAGCATCATGAAGATTAACCCTTCACTCCTTACCGCAGCCGGCCTGGTGTCGGCCCAATTGGCCTCTGCCCTTCCCCAGGCGTCATCCTCAACTGTCTCGCCCAGTCCAACTCCATCTGCCACCCCCGGTTCTTTCGCTACCACCTCAGGCCTTAATTTCGTGATCGATGGCAAGACAGGATATTTCGCCGGTTCCAACTCATACTGGATTGGATTCCAGAAGAACAATGAGGACGTGGATCTCGTGTTCAGTCACTTGCAGGAATCCGGACTCAAGATCCTTCGTGTTTGGGGGTTCAATGATGTCAATGAAAAGCCCACTGATGGCTCGGTTTACTACCACCTGCTGGCAGATGGTAAGGCAACCGTCAATGAGGGCGAAGACGGCCTCCAGCGACTGGACTACGTAGTCTCCTCGGCAGAGAAGCACGGCATTAAATTGATCATTAACTTCGTCAACTTCTGGGATGATTACGGTGGTATCAACGCCTATGTCAAGGCTTTCGGTGGGTCGAAGGAGGAATTCTACACCAATGACGCCATGCAGGAAGCCTACCGCGCTTATATCAAGGCAGTCATTTCGCGGTACAGCGACTCTGCCGCTATCTTTGCATGGGAACTGGCCAATGAACCCCGTTGCCAGGGCTGTGAGACTACCGTGTTGTACAACTGGATCGAGAGTACCAGCAAGTATATTAAGTCGTTGGACTCGAAGCATTTGGTTTGCATTGGTGACGGTATGTGGACCTAGCCTTGTCTGTAATCCACAAACTCTAACAAAAGCAGAGGGCTTCGGCCTCGACACTGGCTCGGACGGAAGCTACCCGTACCAATACTCTGAAGGGAGTGACTTCGCCAAGAACCTGGCTATTCCCACGATCGACTTCGGAACCTTCCATCTCTATCCGAGCAGCTGTAAGTTTACATCAGTAGCAAATCAAACAGTGGAAGCTAATCCAGCTAGGGGGAACCACGAACGACTGGGGCAACGGCTGGGTCACCTCGCACGGGGCAGCCTGCAAGGCGGCTGGAAAGCCTTGCATGTTCGAGGAGTATGGAGTGACCTCGGACCATTGTGCCGTTGAGAAACCCTGGCAAAACACGGCACTCAACACGACGGCCATTTCAGCGGACCTCTACTGGCAGTACGGAGATCAGTTGAGCGGTGGACAATCGCCAGACGATGGCAACACCTTCTACTACGGAACCGACGAGTTCAAGTGTCTCGTGACTGACCATGTTGCGGCTATCAATAGTCGTAAGTGATGCGGAATTCACATGTGATGGGGTGAAACAGGAGTAGTATAGGAAAGCGTTTATAGGCGAATGTATCTTTGCAAGAAAATGAAGTACAAAATTCACTCTCTAAGAGTCCGCTCAAATACCCAGTCGTCCTCTCGAGGCATGCATCACGCTGAGAGCTTCAAACCCTAGGTGGCACAGCTGATAGAATGCTTTAGAGGTTAGATGGACATATTGCTTTCTCTTTGGTAAATGCATTGCCTACCTGGTGATATGACATGTATACTAACTAGAAAGTGGCCCCAACACCAATCCGTGAATTCCACATCATTTCTTTAGTGGATTAAGGATAGATAAATTTTGATTCAGAAATTTGAACACTGTTATCTAGTACCCAGTCTATAGTCTTCACTTGCATTACAGGACTACCAAAATTACCGCAGATATTTTTACGTTTGCCGGACTGGTTTCTCTTATTAATTTTATACCGTATTCCTTCACTCCTGTGGAACTTCCCTTTGGATCGCCTCAATTTAATATTGTCGAACATTGGGTAGGATCCAAAATCTGACTATCTACGCTTATAGCATCCTTCTGTTAACTGTAACATGAAGTGGTAAAACGTTGTTTATTCCTAACTACTGTTTAGTGGAAGCAGAGGTAATTATAATTAGTATTATAACAAGCACTCTCCGAATATAGACATTGTTCTTAATATCTTCTTTTATCTTTTTCTATCAACAAGAATATAACATTGATAAAAACTAGTATTTAGTTCATAGATTCAACGATATTCTATATAAGGTCTAAAGCTTCTATAATATACTCCTAAACTAACCTGGTCCTCCAAGGAAACAAAAAACATCGATATAAACTTAGCAGCCGGGACTAGTCAACCTCCCTTTGCTGTCGGTGTCGGTGTTAGGGTGTCCCTAAAAGCAGTTCTCATTGCATCGATACATATGCTAGTATGGAGGGATAAGACGTGGCCGAAGCCACATGCAAATTCTCCTGATGGTGGGTTGGGCAAAACAAGGACATGGCATCTCCAGCGGAAATAGACACAATAGTCCAAGTGTTCGGGACAGATGGAAGTCCAAGGAACATCTAAATAGTGGATTTGTCGATGCCAGTAGTTCTTCTAGGTATCGGCGTATGTGACTCTGGTGCTGAACCTCCCATCCACTGGCGTACCTCTCGACGAGGTCGATTTCAAAGCTCAAGTATAATAAAAATACACAAATTCATTTCAGGAATCGAAGTTCGTTATGCAAGCTCCTGTGGACGGGGTTCGGGCTTCCCAAGCTCATATCTGAAAACTGTTTGCGGCTGCTGCACTTCAGCCACTGACTCGGTCCAAGTCTTCGAAGCTGCTCCACTGTGTTGCGATGATCTCCTCCGTCGAAAATAGAAGAATGCAGCAGTCGTTGCAAGCAAAAAAACACCAACACCAACCCCTACCCCAATCCCAGCTGCAGCGCCGGCGCCTATTTGGTTACTGGTAGAGTTCACGAGTGGTGTGGACATTACATCAGTCGGGGTCGCATATTCCGGGGTGCCGGTGGGAGGGAGATACTGAATTGTAACTAGTTTGCTGGGTGCTGGAGCAGGGAATTTCTCATCAGAAAGGTTGGAGCAATTGGCCTTTCCATCACTGGTATATGTGCAACAGGCCCAAAGCCCTGTATTTTCGTCATAATCTATGATTGCTCCAGGTTGAGCGCCTATATGTATTTAGTATTGTTGATGTTGGAAACCTCACGGCTGGGAGATTACCACATCGGGTCATGCATGCCGGGTCCTGAAGTGTTGGATCGGTGCAATCCGCCGTATAGTATCCTTTGTCTGAATTGTTGTTGTAATAGTGACAGATGCCATTGCTCATACAATAGTCACCATTTACACAACATTGCACATGGGGATAAGTTGAATTCGGAATGCCGCAGGGCGAATCTGCATCAAAGTTGGAAGTTATCCTACCCGAGTGTAGCGAATAGCACGACATACTGGTTTAGACTGCTGTGGGGGGGTCGCTTTTAAAAGATGATGTCTCGCGAGAAAGAGAGGGGTATAACCGGGATTTATATGTTGCTTAGCGCCCAGGGGTAGAGACATGACTATTTTAAGCGCCTTGCATATGCACTAGTCATGTATGTCCAGGGTTTATGTATACGCACTTTGGTTTCAATTTGTCACCATTTCACCTGTTGGTGTTGCCAACTAAGGCCGACTCCCAAATAGACACTAATAGACATTGAGCACATAGCGAGCCTCGCAATATTTTGCATATATAGAAGGTGATTTATATGTGCCGAGGAGTTGAAAACGAGTGGTTATCCAAATTTACAGTCATGATTGGGGAGTTGTGCTAAGCCCCACGGACACTGTATTAGTGCCCAGCACATATCACACTAGTAGCTGTAACCATAGGCGATCTTGGCTGTTTTTAGTCACCCGCATATATCCCTGGAGATAGTGACACAAAGTATTCATCTACTCCCCATTATCTGATTGGATACTATCAAGGCAGTACGAGGCGCAGACTCGCAGTGGAGCAGTGGAGCAGGGAATGAGACCCTTGCACCTGCCACCAGCTTTAGGGTATACCCTATCAGCCAGAGCATCTCAAATTTGCTATATGTAGAGATTTGGTTCTGTCCATAATTAATCATCCTCTCACTAATTGTGTCACTTGTCACTATATGCTCCATAAATTAACTAATTCTATTCATTCAATGGCCAATGTCTGCCGTCCCGCTCATATCCAATGTGATATCATCATAGAGCCTTATATAAGGCTTTTTGTCATTTTCAGTTCACTGTCTCCCATATTCTTACCCTATCTATTGTCCCTTCGGCCTATGGAAATAATTATACTTAAGCGACCAGCAGAATGGAACCATGCATAGCTATATCTACTTATGTGCGGTATCTTTGCTCAAACTTCCCTGCGTATGCAATAAGATTGCAGTACCGAGTCGTGCCTGCCTCCAATCCTACGCGCATGAACACTACCTCAAAACTCCTCTCTCTGTGACTAGGGATATAACGTCTACCATTTGTAATACTACCACTATGACCACGAATACGACGCATCTACGAATATTGTTTCTATAAACAACTTCTGTGATCGCGATTATCAATTCTGCTCCTACAAAAAACTAGCCTCACATGTCTTATTTCTGCTCTGACCCCAAGTCACACGTTCGGATTCCAACGCCGTGGAACAACAATCTACAAGCTGGGGACTCTGGGAGCCAAAAGAAGTATATGACTCGTTGGTATTTATCGGACTCAATGTTCTTTTCGAATAGAAGCAATTTCTGGCCGGGTCCAACTATGGCCAGTAGCGTCGTCAAAAGTTCAACGTCAAATCCCGATCCCCTCCGGCTCACATTAGTTCTACGACAACTCTTACGGAAGCACAGACGATATTTACCAATTTCCAGCATCTCCATCCTGGGATTTCCATCATATCAGGAGTCTCAACTACGCAACCCCAAAATGTTATCACGGCAGGTGACTTCTAAAATGCCTTGAAACGGCTGTGGAGACAAGAGCGCACCAGTACCAACAGGGTCTTCCTCTCGCCCCGTTTTGACAGCGTTAATCGAAGGGTTTAATACATTCAGAATAAGACGTTGATACTTCGAAGCTCCAGGTCACAAATATCGTTGACTGTAAAATAGCTGAAGAGCTGGTAGTACCGAAGTGAAAAAGATAGCTAATGACGTCAACTCTCGAGGCCATTGCGGACATCAGGGTGGAGGTAGTTTTCGAGTCGGAATCGAGTCTCTGCCTGATGAACGTGCTGAGGACACAGTTCAGTTGGACCTGACTCGTAAGCTGGAGTCAATCTGATCGTTCCTCATCTGGAGACCATATGTTCTTCCCGAATTTTCTCACAGCATCAGGTCAAGTCAGGTTCAAAATTACTTACAATGCCATACAGACTGAAAATCCTAAAATGAAGACCCTCAGAAGTCAAGTATGTGTCTTTTGGCTATTAATAAAGTATTAATTGACTAATCGGTTTTAGAAGGATTACCAAGAATACCTGGCTGGGCGCCTTCATCAGATACTAGAACTAACCGACAATGACAAAGTAATATATCTGTGCACTCTATTCTTATTATACTATTACTAGTATAGTACTAGCTAGGAAGAGTAAAGATCTCAGTTAATATAAATACAGAGAAATGAAATGGCGAAATTATCCTCTACTGGGGAGAGGTATTTTGTCGATTGCCGGTGTTTACAAAAGGTTAAGGCCATCCAGGTCTTTAATCCATAGCAGGTATTTACTAATATATACTATAGAAAGCATGGAACTCAACGAATTAGCCCCGAAAGCACATAAAGGCATATGGAGTGCTGATTTAAGAGATTATCGGCGTTTATCCTCAGGGATATCTCAGAGCCTGCTTATGGACCTCGAGAGGTGCTACCGGAATAATAATGGGTTTCAGGGCAATATGGGACTATACAGTTAATATCGACCAAATGGATATTATGAGCTATCAATGGCACATACGACGTGGAAAGTCTCACATGCTACACCCTCAGAGAAACCAATAAGCATTATCTTGTTCGACTGATTCCGAGTGGGGTTACTTATGACCAAGGTATTACCCGAAATTAGTCCCTTCTTATCCGCAGCTTCATGGCCAGATACATTCTCAATGGCTCGATAATGAAAAGACTTGGGGCCATGAGAAATATCCAAGCATCTAAGTCCGGGTGCGGCAACGACTTTGTCCCAGTTTTCATCATCGAAATATTACTAGTGCAGTTGAATGTTGCACTTTGCGTATTTCCCATGCATAATGTAATCTTCAGCTTAGAGTTGTTGATGAGGCCCACACCCTTCGAAACCAGGAGAACTCCCTGCAGTGGCAGACCGTGAATTGGGTTATGGCAGATCTCAATCTCCTCATCACAGGAACCCCTAATCTGCAATCATGTTCAGAGATAATTCAATGTGGCAGCTAGAATATGATATGCCGTTTCTCCAGCTTGCGTAAGACACACTGTTGAGATTTATGGCTCTTGGACTGATATCTACATCAGTTACTTCTGTTTTATTACCTTTGCTTTTTTTTGCTTTCTTTATTTTCTCTTCCTTATACCTGTCCTGCCCTAGTAACTCTAACCCAATGGTTCATGTTAGCCTTTGAGAGAAGCCCGGTAGCCTAACAACATAAGATGCCTCATCCACACTGGCTTAGCACCCTCTGCTATAACAGCTACAGAACAAATCAAACCACGAAAATAAGCAGCTCTTCTCCGGCAAATATGTTTTCCAGGGGTATATAGACAATGAAAGAGGGCTTCAGAAGTCTTCCAGCAGTGCTTTCACTAAATTATAACACAACTAGCAAAAGTACGAGTCGAGAGACTTTAGTCCGGGCTATCCCTGCGTGGTACTCCAGGGACATACGTCCTTCACGTCGTATTTCCCAATCGTTAGACATAGGACCACTTGCACCAACCGGAGCTGAAGTTGAATATCGGACCAACAGCTTTGCTAAAACTTTTCAGCAGAATCCCCACCAGCATGGAATGCCCCTCTTTATAGCTTTCAGCCAGCCACTTCAACCTGTCAGCTAAAATCCCCGCCGATGGGTCTCAACCCAGCCGCACCCGGTCCCAGAGTTACATTCAACCTTGGATGTAACCCAAAAGAAGACATCGAAATATAAAACATTTGGTTTTATTCAGTCTGGTTCTAAATTTGGCACCCCATATTCCTTCTTCCTCAATCCATCTAACCCGGAGTGCTTAGCACTATTTGAGAAGGAAGCAACGAAGCTGAATTCTACCCCCGGTTTTTCCACAGTCCGATTTGAAATCCTACGGTTTCATTTGCGATATACTCCGCATTTTTTGACGACATTCTACTTTTTTAGGTGAGATATAATGACAGATTTAACGTAACAGTTGCCTATCTAAACCAAACGTTACACACACTACGAAGCTGTCTTCCATTCTCCATCCAATGATCGAGGGTAGTACTTAACGGGAACAGTATGCGTCTTGCCAAGCATCCTAATCCATGTGTTTTTCACTGACAGGTCAAATCGACCCCGCATAGGTGGAAAGAAGTCACCATCCAGCCGCACTTCAACCAACTGTCAGAGTGATCCTCGCAAGGGTATACTTGCCATTTCTCGTTTGACGGTCAGGGTTCTGCATGCATTGCTTCGCCGGAAACTTGCTCAGTTTTCAGAAGACTAGTCGACCTACCCATTTTGAGGTTCCAGTGGAATGTTGCGAACAATCTTCGCGTCATCTTCTCCTGGGTTGGTGTCATTATGGTGAAATTGAGCACGAAGATCTGCGTTCATGGAGTACTGCATAATCCACTCCGACCATCGGGTTGGTCGGAACAGGTAATCCAACTTGCGAAACGCATATCCTGCAGTATGGATGTAACCTCCCTCAGCTGTAGGATTTGTTCGCTCTTGAGACGGCCTTCGAGATGAACGTGCTGGACCCTTGGCAGCGTCTATAAAAAGACGCTCGAAGGCTCCGAAGTCGAGAGCTAGACCGGCACTTTCCATCTTGTCGATTCATCCTTTCTATCTGTTGCGAGCAAACTACATCAATCTAGCTACTCCTGCTTCCTAAAGCATCCAACTTTTTGTTTATTGTACCCACCATGTCCGTACCACAGTACGTCGCCAAGGAGCCTCTTGTTCGCGACCTGAGAGACTTCATCAGTCGCGACGCGGACCGCGTCAAGCGTTTCAATGATGCCATCGCAACCGCTGTCGCCGGTAGCGCAGAAGGTGAGGACGACGAAATGGCCAACGAAGGCATCAAGACCTTAGACGACTACCTCCGCTTCTGCGACGACCTTCTCCAATGGGTTCCCAAGGTTAGCAGCAAGGGCGACGAGCTCCTTCAGAAGATCCTCGTCTTCTACTGGGTCTTCGATCAGCCCGCACTCCATGGTCTCCAAACGGAAATCCAGCCGCAGAACTCGAACACGGATCTCAGCTGGCTTTCCTACTGGCTTGTGACATTCGCACGCCAACAGGGCTTATTCTTAAGTACGCCGCAGTCTGCTGCCTCCGTGTACTCTTTCTATAGAAACGAGAAGTATAACAAGGAGGCGGCTCTCTGGGCAGAACCCAAGTCCGGGTGGGTGTCGTTCAATCACTGGTTTGCTCGCGAGTGGCAGGATATCGACTCGGCTCGTCCGCTCGCTGGGCCGAATGACGATAAGGTCATTGTCAGTGTAGCCGACTCCATGTTTGACGGCAGTTGGGATATCGTGGATGGCAATGTTACCATTGCCAGCATCGATACCAAGGGGGTAGAATGGCCGATTCAGAAATTGTTACAAACCACGGCTATCGATTATCACAACGGGATGTTCATGCATGCTTTCCTCGGCCCTACCGACTACCACCGTCAACATGCACCCGTGAGTGGTGAGGTCATTGAGGTCAGGAATATCCAAGACCAGGTCTACCTCCAGGTTGCTAACAAGAAGGGTCACCTGTCCGGCGACCGGGGACTGGTCCGGGCCCCGCATATGATCACGAAACGCAGGGAAAAGCTCAAGGGTGGCCATAACTTTTACGACCTGGATGCACCGGACGATGCCGGGTATCAATGGTGCCAGACTCGTGGGCTCGTCGTCATCCAGACGAAGGACTATGGCAAGGTCGCGGTGTTGCCCATTGGCATGGCTCAGGTGTCCTCCGTTGTGATGACCGTGAAGAAAGGCGACCTTGTCAAGAAGGGCGACAACATCTCGTACTTCCAATTCGGTGGCTCGGATGTGGTTGTCGTCTTCGAGAAGAAGGTCACTTTCAACCCGGATTTTAAGCCGGGTGAGACGAAATTGAACGTGAGATCGGAATTGGCCAGGTTTCAGTGAGGAACGCGGGGCGCTATCCCGAGTCCTGTTTGGGTATCCCGTTAACAAAAGCTTGGTTTTTTACTTTCTTGGCTGTTCTCGATCTGCGATGTAATTATCTGGGCAAAACCAATGGCAATATATTCATTTGTTGATTTGCTCGTCCTGCGGATCCTTCGGGATCGGATGTAAGCCCTTCGGAACTAAGCATGTCAGACGGGGATCACGGAGGTCCGTTCTATCACGGCATCGATGGAATATGCCTAGACCTGGTGATTACCAACCCAAAACCTAAATGCACATGTAGAGTATCAACTTCTTCTATATTGCGAGTATTAAGTGAAAGGATTGTACGTAGTGTCCGGGTTCGGAAGCGGTTGGTGATTATGGTCATGTGACCGGCACGGTTTGCTTGTTCACATGACTACGCGCGCGATGTATCACTAAAGCAGGAATGACTTGTCAATTCTAAGGTATAGACCTATGCGCCAAGGCACTTAATCACAGATATAGATGACTGGTTTATGGTAATATTATATCTCTGAGGCTAGTTCACTGTGGGGCATAGGTAGTACGCACGATATGTCTTGTCTCCGGGAAAATATATATTGGCAGAACGTGTATTAATTGGACAGTTTAGGCTGAATTTGAGAACACATGTAACTTATTACATGAATATGAATACATTTAGAGATATTATGCATATTAAGCTAGTATCAAGCTATGACAGTAGTATAACCAACCACCACCTATTGGGGGGAGTGCCTATACTTACTCCCGTGGCGTTCCGTCTACAACGGCAGGCGGAAGTGTACAGCAACAGAAACTCTAAAAAGCTTCAGGAACTACTACTATGGTATCATAACCCCGGAATTCCCGGTCGAATGGTAAGCTACGGAATATATCCTCAGCACAGATAGATCCGTGCATTCCAGCATCTTCTGCAGAGGCATCAGGTGATTCAGGTCAAGTACGTGATCAAACCTTCGGCTGATCACCCGGGACATCGGGACTGTCCGAGAGGCAACGCAATGACCCATATGAGACACAACGTGGCAATCTAGATAAGATCATGCAATTGACGACGTTTGAGCCTCGATCTGGACTGGTCATGCCTGATTCAAGCAAGTAGGAATGGGTGAAAATAGAATGATCTCTGGTTATTTGGATCACCTGATATGAAAAAAAAAAAAGTATTCGTAGGCAGTGCTGTGGCGTGTGGAGAAGCAAGAGTGGGTCGGAAGATGATTGATCCTGGACAGACAGAGTGTCGGGCTTTTCCTGGAAAGGAAGTTTCTACGGAACCGAAACAGTTCCAGAGGTTTCAGAGGTTCCAGGTCGGTCGTCGTGGAGTTGCTCCAGACAAAAATTTTGCGGGGATACGTCATTCAGTCTAAGCGACCACATGACGACGAAGCCCTATTTGGATTTTGGACAAGAGTTTTTCCGCGCGTTTCCGATTAGTCCGTCCAACGTCGGGGACGTTTGTTACTCTCTTAAGGGGTAAAAGGGGGAATCAAGGTTTTCAAGATTTTCAAGATTTTATTTTTATTTTTTATTTATTTTTTCTTAAAAATTTCCTAAAACTAACAAACAACTGATCTTATTTAAACGAAGTATAGATATTCGTAGCGATCATTTCGATAGGATAGAGTTGCTGGTCTTTTCTAGAAGTTTGTTGACGAATCGCTAATTTCCATCCACAAAGCTTGGATGGTTCTGGGGCCAACCATGCACGAGATCCAACGCCACTGACGAGAGTCGGCTCGGTCGGCGATGTTTGGGAAATCCAACAAGGAAACGATGCCGTGAAGCTGTTTTTCGGTGCCGATGGCTCGACCATATCGGTCGGCATTGCTCTGTTTTTTCACGGTAGTAAGATGAACTCGGCCGTCCACCATACTATTAGTAATAGTAATAAGGGTATTGTCATTAAGGAGTCTCATGTGACCATAGAAGGTGGATGATACCGTTCGCGCATATGATGGCGTTGTAAATTCGATAGTAAATTGATACTACATGCGATATTATCATAGTCGTAGGCAGTGACGTTCACTCCGCATTTCCCCTCTTTTCATCGCGGTCCCTGCATCCTGGTATTCTCCAGGTTGGGCTTCACCGGTCAACAGAAGAGGAAGTCTCCCCTCGTTTTCTCCATAATCACCTCCAGGAAATGCCTCTCCCACACTCCCCGTGAAATTCCGGCCATGTGTGGCCGATGATGCCGAGATTCTGGAGTTGTGGGTGGCGCTAGTCCAGGAGCAGCTAAGCGCCACTCATTGTTTTAGGTCTAGTGCTCCACATCCCCCGGCACCTGGACTCGTGACTGGCCAAACCCCAACAAATCCATCCCTCGAGAATGAATACTGGCATGCCACATCGACGCAGGATGTTCGCCGCCCCCCAAAAGCCAAGACGGCTTCAGTCACCGTTTTCCTTTTAGGCATGCCGAGGTCACTACAACCCATTGCGAACGGTTACACACTCCTTCCGGAGCCGATAGAACTCTATCGCTGGGCCTTGTTAGCGACGTCATATGGGAACCACGGTTTAATTTTGACACGCGCCTCAACCCAGTTATGACCGTCAGTGGCGCTGATCCCTTCATCTCACTATCCCTCCGCCAGTCTCCAGGCTGCGTCCCGATGGGGTTGGCTACCATGACGAACCAGAGGCCACGCCGAGGGGCCGTGGATCCCGAACTGTTGCCTGTCCCCTGTTGTGCCGGCCGTTTCCTAGCACTTCGGCTGGCCTAACTGGCTCATGGCTGTCGGTTTCGGCCGGCCTCTTCTCCAATCGTTGGCGAGCCCTGTACGGAAATGCGGGTAGTATTGTCTATTATCCCCGTGTCCCGGACGGACACTGGCCGTGAGGTCGGCTCTCCACATTGGGACTCTCCTCCTCACTAGTTTCTCGTGGAAATTTTTCTCCCTTCCCTTTTTGATTTTTTTTTATTGCCTATTTTTTTTTCGCATGCGGTTTTTGACATAAAAAGGACACAGATCTCCCCGTTTCTGAATTCAAAATTTCAATTCCCACTTCTGTCTTCCTCTTCCCCATCAAATTTGTTCCCTACCCTGGAGGTATACCGTTCTCTTCTTTTGGTTTATCCTCTTCTATCTTCATATATTACCTTTTATATACCTATTCGGTGTTAGCCTTTTGAGCCACAACTGCAAATACGGTCGAACAAATACAGTCTTACCGCTCCCACCCACATACTCTCCACCATGGGTGTCGAGACTTCTGCCCAGCATGGGGAGATGATCAGCCCAGCTGGCGCTCCCCAATACTCCAGTCAAGAGTCTGTGGCTGTTAACAAGCCTATGAATGTTGGAGTTGACACCCCCGTTCCCCGCATTACCCTGCGGGCCTTTGTCATGGGTGCCTTCGTTTCTATGGGTGGTCTTCTCTTCGGATACGATACCGGTCAGATCTCTGGTTTCCAAGAGATGGGCAACTATCTTGAACGCTATGGTCAACTGGACGACGCGGGTAAATATTACTTCAGCCATGTTCGCTCCGGTCTCATTGTCAGTCTGTTGTCTATCGGTACCTTGATTGGTGCTCTGGTTGCTGCTCCTATTGCCGATAAGCTTGGTCGTAAATGGTCTATTACTTTCTGGTGTATCATCCTGAATGTCGGCTTGATTGTTCAGATCTCTTCCCCTGCCGGTAAATGGGTTCAGATGGTCATGGGCCGTTGGGTGACTGGTCTTGGCGTCGGTGGTTGCTCTCTGCTCGTCCCCATGTACCAGGGTGAGAGTGCTCCTCGCCAGGTCCGTGGTGCCATGATCAGTTGCTACCAGCTGTTTGTCACTCTCGGTATCTTCCTTTCTTACTGTATTAACTTGGGAACTGAGCACCTCGATGGCACTGCGCAATGGCGGATTACCTTGGGCCTTACCTTCTTGTTTGCTCTCGTTCTCGGTGGTGGCATGGCTTGCTTCCCTGAGAGCCCCCGTTTCGAGTTTCGTCACGGTCGTGTCGACAGTGCTCGTAACACCATGTCGAAGCTCTATGGTGTTCCCGAGAACCACCGCGTTATCCTCCAGGAGATCGAGGAGATCCAGCAGCAACTCGACGCCGAATCCCAAGAGCAGGTGTGGCATGAGTTCATCACTGCTCCCCGCATGTTGTACCGTATTGCCCTGGGTATGGTCCTGCAGTCTTTGCAACAGCTGACTGGTGCCAACTACTTCTTCTATTATGTAAGCATCCCCTTCTTCAAACTTTGGTCCGAAAGGTCATATGCTAACATACAAACCTAACAGGGTACCACTATCTTCCAAGGTGCCGGTATCTCCAACAGCTTCATCACGCAAGTTATTCTCGGTGCTATCAACTTCGGTACCACCTTTGGTGGTCTATACATTGTTGAGAACTTCGGTCGTCGCAAGTCTCTCATCGCCGGTGCTGGTTTCATGTTCGTTTGCTTCATGATCTTCGCTTCTATTGGCCACTTCATGTTGGACGTCGACCACCCCGAAAACACTCCCGGACCTGGCAAGGGTATGATTGTTGTCGCTTGTTTCTTTATCACCGCCTACGCCATGACCTGGGGTCCCATGATCTGGGCTATCTGCGCCGAATTGTTCCCTTCCAAGTACCGTGCCAAGGGTATGGCTCTGGCCACCGCATCGAACTGGGGCTGGAACTTCCTCATCGGTTTCTTCACCCCCTTCATTACCGGTGCAATTGACTTTGCCTACGGATACGTCTTCGCTGGATGCTTGGCGGTCGCTGCCTTCGTCGTCTACTTCTTCGTCATCGAGGGTAAGGGCCGAACCCTTGAGGAGCTCGACTGGATGTACGTCAACAAGGTCACTCCCTGGAAGAGCAGCAACTTTGAGATGCCTTCTCTTCACGACCAGCAATATGGCGTCCAATATGGACGCAAGGAGTCTCGCTCTTATCACGCCGAGAACGCATAAAAAGGGGTTTGGGTGGTCTTGCATTTGGAGTTGGTTATTTGCACTTTTCTTGTGGATACTCTCCTCGTATATATGGGATTATGGGTTACATGATTTATATCCATTTGCTTTAACTTGTTATATATCCTTCGGACCTTCATATAAGGCCTTGTACAATTAAAAGATTCTTTATTTCAATTCTTTCAATTCTTCCATCAATATCTTGGGAGTAGCTTTCGTCACACAAGCGACTTATTCGCCAGATAGAACTTCAAAATTTTAAATCCCACTCTAATACATTGTTAATATCTAACATCCTCCATTTTAGATAATATTTATTGCTGACCTAAGTTTTACATACATTTGCTGTACTCACATACCTCGCACCTGGTTAGTGATGGTTATCTTGCATGACACTCTGACTGTTGAGTGCGAGCTTCCGAAGCAACGTAAAGAACAACTCTAGAAGCATAGATAATGAGCTTCTCCATGTTAATAGCTCATTTTCCCTTTCCTTCTTCTGTTGTACTACTACTACTACTACTACTACTACTACTACTACTACTATTAGTATTTTTATTATTATTGTTATTATTCGTTTTTTAGCTTCGAGCTAGCTACATAGATAAAGTCCCATACACTCTCAATATAGCCACAGAAGTCCCCTACTTCAGACCTCCTTACAGAAACTCCTGTAACTCAAAGCATCAATCAATGTTATGACGTGGAAAAAAAGTCCCACGATAATCAACGAAACGAGTCACCCCAGCGCTTAATAGGAGGAAATAGAAGCCCATCATCCAAATATCTCGAAGATGTGTCCAAGCCTAAACCATCTCCCATTCAGTCAACTATATAGAACAACTTTGGCGGAGTATTCCGAGTCATAGCAGAAGGCCCCGCATCATACCATTCCATCAGACAAGATCCCACCCTGTTGGACCTATATTGGTACTTAAGCGGGAATGTGTACCGGGCAGGATTAGTAGCCATTTCAAGCTGCGTTTGCATTACATGTAGGTAGTGCTCCAGTTCTTGAAGCCTTTTGCTGATATTCACTTCGAAGGTTGTGATGCTGTAACACACTGTCCAAGAACCGGGCTTTTTGGATGGGGTACTCAGGCATTTGGTGGTATCGTCTGCTAGTAATTGCTTGAGGGAACTGGAGATGATTTTAGCGCTGTTATTGACTTCATTGTAGGGGATTCTGAAGTAGAAATGTGTGATCTTTGGGGTTGATTGCATGTTGGATTTTTTGTTTAGCATTGGTGTGTCATTGGGTAAATTGTACGTTGGGCTAAAGCTGGTTATATAGAGGATAATAAGAGGTAAATTCCTAACGGTCTGTTTGCTAGTAGTGAATAGTTAGAAGTGTATGTGTTAGGTAAACAGGACGAGGTACGTTAACTTGGTATATAACCATATCGATATATCGGGAAAATTCATATAAGTTGCATTATAGCACATGCAAAGCATTGCAAAGTCTACATATAACACCATAGCGCTTGCCATCGGACCAGTACCGCAGTACTTCCATAAGAGATATTACCTGTAGAAAAAGCCAAAATCATGTATCGGTTCAAAGAAACTGTGTATAGGTTGGTTTTATCTCATACCTTCTGTCGTTAGCATGAATGAAAGTACTATATCAAAAAGGGTTACGACAAAGAATGGAATCTTTCCCATTGTGTGTCTATTTATGAGGATGTGTATTAGCATTGAACGGCGTTGACAAGCTGTATTGATATCTAAACGATAGACACTATGAAACCAACAATGAGAGAATCGAGGATGCCAACGAAGCTGATAATCAAAGTAGTATTACTCTGAAAGAATGGGAATAAATACTAACCCATGTAGCTCTTTTCATTGTTTTCCACGGTCATGAAATGTTGAAGTTTTGCAATTCTTTCCTTGCTCAAGGCCCCATCCAAGGAGTCTTTCAGACTGGGTACCTCAATAATCATTGGCCAGATTAAGAACCTATTTCTTCCACCTTCACACCATCTCATCACAAACATGGTTGGCGAGTGTGTGGTACGGCGACACTTGAGCGGCATCGAAACGAATCCCTCATGCATTTTGAAAGATCCCTGGAAGTGATACTGCACTTCTACCAAGTATTGTCTGAGATTCTCAAGGGCCTCGTCAATTGTCGTACCTCTCACCCTGAAATGGACCCTCCCACACTTCCGCTCTGGATTCAGAGCCGGAAGCTTCTGGGAGCTTGAAGGATCTCGGAGTAGCTTAACACAAGCCGAAACCACGGTCAAGAGAGACACCCTCTTGTGTTTACCACGTTGTTCTTGGCGTGGAATATCCATTTCAATTTTGAAGTAGTCCCGAGCGAAGGGATGTGGCCTTGCCTGTACGAGGCAATTGTGGTATTTCTGGCGTTTAAAAAGCCTCAAGAAAGCCATGGCTACGCGTGAGCTCGACTCTAGGGTTTTTGCTCTTTCTGCCTCTTTGGTATGAGGCTGTTCAGCCTGGTATCAATGGTTGGTGGCTGTACATTGCGGAAATGTGGGGAATGCGGTTCATTTAACTACTGCGTCGTTAGGGCCTTTGTTAAAAAGGTCGTAAGAGCGTCACTGAAAGTCTCGGCTTGGTGTACCACTGTTTGGCATAGTCAAGGCATTTGAAAGACACACAATGATGATAATAATGACGAAACGAAACTTGTTTCGAGTCCTTATCCTCATGAAGTCACTGAAACCATGCCTTTGTCGATCCCTCTGCCTGTTGCTTTATGAGGCGTTTACCTGAATACCATTATAGTGCAAATCTCGTAGTCTCGACATTGACAAATCAATACTCACGGTTTCGAGTAAAAGCTGTTATGTAGAACGGTTACGAGGCTAGAGAATTAGACTAAATACGTTCTTGTCTAAGCGTCAACATGATGACTCATTCGGGCAGGAACGTCTTGCGGCAGGCTACCATTTACGTTGATAACACATACGTAGACATATGATATAAGTATTACCACTGTACTGACTTTGGTGTATCTGTCTATCCTCGCCAGTCCATATTGCCTGGTCTTCCTTTTCTTTACCAAGCACCACTACATCCACATCAGCTTAAAACGCCCTCTTATAGCTATATAAGCATAGAGCTATACTCCATATCAAACAAACTACCTTTATCGATTATTTAGCACTTATACATCATACCTTATATATACCCTTATACAATACATATAATGTCGGGATCCAAGTATTCGCGGACTGGGACCAACACCCACCCGAACGGAAAGAATGCGAAGGGGACACTCTCGCTCACAGCCCCATCCGACAAGGGGGAATGGAATACGAAGGATGTGGGAAGACAGGACAACGAGAGCGTTGAACTCTCCGGAGAGAAGGGCAACAGTCCACAGAAAGTTACGTTGCATATTATATCTCTTTATCTGCGGCAGCAAACTAACAACGGATGTAGGCCAATCTAACTGCCAACGCAAGAAGGGAAAGGGCAAATGGCAAAAGGTGTCTTTGTCTGGAGTAACAAATCCGGTGACTCCACATAATGCCTGGTCGGTCATCCTAGAGCCAGAGCAGGCAAAGATCCTCCAGGATTTGGAGGCATTGTGCCATTCGACGAACCCACACGTCGCTCGAATGCGCCACTGGGATGCTTCTCAAGTGCACGAAACCAGCCCGACTCGGCGATCGGTAGTCGCTATCGATTGTGAAATGGTCCAGGTGGGCCGTGGCCAGAATGAGGTAGTCCAGGTCTGCGCCGTGGATGTACTATCCGGGGAGATAGTGGTCGACAAGGGTGTCATTCCGACACGGCCTGTCACAGATTGGTGTACACCGTGGAGTGGAATGACACCAGGCCGCTTAGAGGATATGGAAAGGAAAGGCAAGACAGTGAACGGCTGGGAGGAAGCGCGGGCGGAAATCCTCAAATTTGTAGATGGCGAAACCATCTTGGTTGGGCATGCGCTTAAGAATGATACGCGTGCTTTGGGGATGAATCACACGAAAGTCCTCGATACCGCCACTGTTACAAAGCATGCGGTGACCAAGGAAATGGTGGGATCTGGTTGCAAGCGCACTTGGAAGTTGAAGACATTGTGTCGAGATTTCCTGGGGATAAATATCCAGCAATCCAGGAACGGACACGACTGTGTCGAAGATACGCTTGCGACCAGAGAAGTGTTGCTTTGGTGTGTCCGCAACCCGGACAAACTTAAGGAATGGGCGGCGGGGCAAAGTGCTACAGTAAGAGCAGTACCAAGCTCCTGCTCCTCCCCCCAGGAAAGGGAGGATAGCGTACCGGTCGAAAGTGTTGAAGATTGGTTGTAACACTGTTATAGAAATTTGGTACATTGGCATATTGTTTTGTTTAATGCTATACTGGAAATGTTGGAATTGTTGGTCGAGTGGGAACTTATTGCTATATCATATCGTCTATCTTGACATTTGTGGAATCATTTATTTCAGGTGGCAGTAGATTTATAGTTTTGACATCCAAGCAACGCCCTACTTCTTCATCACAGAGTTCTCCAATGTTCTCTCCTCATGTACTCATAAAGCTACATCTACCATTGTCCTGCTTGGTCACATTGGATTGTACGACTACGGCATGTCTAGCATGTTGCACGCATTCTGTTAAAAGGTCTGCCTGGACGGAATGACGACAACAACCGTAAATTTTGATAATGAAGATGATAGAGATTTGAAGACTGCTCCATCTGTCCGACCGGAAATATAATAGTTCGCGCAAATTTATCCAAATTCCGTCTCAAGCACCTCTTTACTGGATCACGCCTCCAGGGGGATGCAGTTGGCTTGCTCTCCTTTTAGTTCATCAGAGACCGTTCCACTTTTGGGGGAGCAGGATATTGATGAATACTATGATAGTAACATACAAGGCCGTGCACAAGTAGGATGTCATTAACGGAGTTGACGGACTTAGGGCTCAGAGCACAAAGCCCGATGTCAGACAAGCCTTCAATGAAATGCTTGATAGGGATGTTCGGGCGTTGTTCTGACCAGAAAGTGATTTAATCTTCCGATCCGAGGGTGCACTGCCTCTGCCTCCGCTACGATGGGGCTAATTACAAATTGAGAAGGATTTTGTTACCTGACCCTTAACGGTTATGTCGGTTACTATACACAGGTTTAGGTGGAGTTAGTGAGTGGATGCCAGATGGGGGCTAAAACTAAGTGTGGCTAAGCATCTGAGCATCATTGTTGGAATGGAAGCTCCCGGGAGACAGAAGCGCACATAGGGCTGTGGGAGGCTACGATGATTTGTGATCGTCGCTGCATCATCTTGTTTTAGAAAGAGGCAACGAATAGATGGTTGGAGCCCCACTCTTGCTCTTGAGTCAGCCCCCTAGGTTATTTTGGAAGACGGGTCGTTAGGGGTATGCGCCCTACGAATCGGAGTAGAGAGTGGAATTGTACGGTCGAATAGACCCTTGGAGAGCTACAGGCAGACGTAGGAGGCATGCGGATACTCCGGAAGATAGTGCTAAACTTCGTACCAATTTGTCTGGTCAGCAATGTGTCCGATATGTTTTGCATGTGGGCGGAAAAAGAAATGAGTGAGGAAGCATAATTTGTTCAGAGACCCGTCTTGAATAAGGTATAGATATTTCACCATAGAAGAAAGGCTTCAGGGAACCAAAAAGGTTCCGAGATATCATCATCATGGATTTGGACAGCGAGGGATGAGGCAGCTCCAGGGGCAAACACTTACGGCCATGTCCGTTGTTAACACACAGACCAGGTGGGCGTAACGGATGGGGAAGATGGGAGCCTCATGAATGACGTCTGAGCCTCAGTCTGGACGATTCTATACGGCTTGCAGCATAAGAATCTTGTTAGCATACCTTGGAAGGATCGAATACTTTGCGGAATCCTTCCGATGTCGCACGGTGGAGACCAGTCCTTAACTCCAACGAACATGTTTTCGCGAGGCTCATTGCTCTGATGGCCCGAAACTGTCCAGAATTCACAAATGGTGTGGTCCCGGTTGGTGATATGTGTAAACCTTTTGTCCAGATTCTCGCGTTCAAGCTGTTGAAATATGTGTTCAGACTAGGGCCGGCCCTATCCCTGTTTTCATTGTTTTCAGTGTTTTCAACCTGCATGGACCACGACCTTTTATCAAACTCTTATTGGCCACTGGTCTGAGATTGGTGGAACTGGACGATGCGGGAGAGATTTGTTAATATTTTTACACTCTGTCGCTATACTCCTTGAGGAACCAGATACTGGCAAGCAGGAGAACCAAAAGTCGAGAGGTCTTTGTACGCTTATCTCATACATGATGTTCAAGCGTCACATAAACTTGTCGACTCTTCGACATTGACTGATCACTCCTCCAATTTAAATCACACATAACTAGTTGTATGGTAATTGTTTGAATTATAGATCTAGGAAAAATGATATAATCACGAGGAGAACAAGAAACTGCAACTGGGCAGGCGACACAGGGGCGCTCAGTTAATATTGACCCTTGGAATCCTTACAAGTTAGATTGGCTGTATGCCCATCCCTTAGAACACTTATCTAGTATCGCTAGAGACACTTTCATGCCAAAAGTACCTACTACACGACACGTATTGGTGTGGATCGTTGAGTAAGCACTTTTTGTGGGAAAGGTCGGAATCAGGTAATCATCCAGGGGTTGAATCTTGGCGCTATGTAAGCTACACAATCAAGCTACTAGTGGGAACAAATCTCTTTTTTATAAAAGGTGATCCAATTAGTTCGCAAAGAGCGGTTATCCATGGTGGAGAACTGAACAGACTATCATAGCCCTGTCCAATCTGGCCCCCATGCTACTAACTTCGCCTCTACAGGATATGAGTCTTTTATTCGGCCCTGCCATTCAATGCGCTTATGTGCCAAGGCCAATAGGTCCAATCATAGAAGATAATTGACGAGCCCTGCGACGATCTAACAGGTGTCAATCCTGGCGCCACGCAACTACCAATGATCAAGCCTCTGTACTCTATTCGTCGTGGCGTTTATAATGATCGGGGGCGATAGACTTTACCCTGAATGAGCGTTAGCCCTGCTTCACCATGTGGGTAAAACAGGGGTTCGATGGCTATGGCGATGCTGCCTAGTGATCATCTCCATGGTACTTCCTGTTAACAAATGAGAAAACATGCGTATGGAAAGAATACTCAGCTAAACAAGCGACCCACAGGCGTGATTTGGCTTGGGCAGTGCTCCAACTGGATCCCCATTAATACCATAGCCACACCTGGGCTCCTAGACCATATAAGAAGGCTAGGCTATGCCTCTGTGATGAAGAAGGGATATCTTCACCATAGATAATCACAACCAAATATTGTGGGCGATGCTTTCGAAATCACCACTTTTCCTCGCCCTGACTGGGGCTCTGTCCGCTGTTGCTGCTCCCAGTGCATTGGCCCGGTCGGAAGAGCCATGTGCGAAAGTGAGCAGGTTATATCAGCAAGCTGTAAAGGAAAATGGTAAGAATACTATGCGTGCTGCGAGCATTGCCTCATTTTAACAATGTCTAGTGACTGAGCCTATTATGGTTGACGGAGGGCTCGCACATGAGTGTATCCAGTCCATGCCCTTTGACGCGCAAAAGGGAGCGAAATTTGTCTCCGAATTAACCAAATACATCCAGTTTCAGTCAACGATTGAACTTCTGGAAAGTGAGTAGCAACCTGTTGTCACCCGTAAGGCCGAGCTCTCTAACAATTTCCTACTTTAGACCCCCCAGCTGGATATCCCTCTTCCCCAACAGACCTCCTAGGAGGTATGGATGAGGTACTCGCCAAAGCTAGAAACAACCAATTTGCTAGCCATTACGAATTTGATAATGCTATTCTACAGGTTCTCCATTCTGCAAATGACGGGCATTTGGGTGGCATTTTGTGCTCAAACACAGTCTTTTACTTCAAGAACCTTGTATCCTTGATATCAATATCGTCTGATGGGGTACAACTTCCCCAGCTCTACACATTAGGTATGAAATGCGGACGATTACCGCTAAGAAGCCAGCTGACCATCACGCATAGAGGACGCAAAGGTTTTGCAAAAAGATCCCAAGAACATTTCTCCCATTGTCGCCATTAATGGCTACGACGCTCTGTCGTACCTGAATCAGTACGCGGAATCAGACCATTTCCAAGACCCTGATGCGAGATATAACCACCTCTTTCCTTCATACGCCCGTTACGTAGCCCAACAAGGACTGGCGGGCACTTGGACATTTAATAATGGGTTGTGGCCTGGCTATGCAGCCCAGAATCTAACCTTCGCCAACGGAACATCACTGGAAGTTCCAACACTTGCCCAGATTGCGCTGGAAGATTTCAAGTACGGCAATGGTAGTGCTCTCTGGGAAGACGTATGTTTGGCGCAATCGGCGTCGGCATCTGATGTCACCGAAGACAGTCTATCGAAGAGGTCCGAGACTGCTGGAAAGAAGGCACCAGCCATGTATCCAAAGCCTGCCATGCGTGATGAGTATAACACAATCTTAGGGTACTTCCTCGAGGATGACCTTGAGGATGTGGCCGTACTTTTCGTGCCTAGTTTCGAAACGAACAAGTATGAAGGCGATCCATTAGCGTTTGCGAACCACGCCACCGACTTTGTCAAGAAGGCGGTTGATGCCGGGAAGAAAAAGCTGGTAATTGACGTTTCCGGAAACCCTGGTGGTAACACTGCCTCCGGCTATGATCTCTTTCGAGTTTTCTTTCCCCAGACGGAGATGTATACAGCCTCTCGTATCCGCGCCCATGAGTCGGTCAACCTCATCGGACAAGCACTGGCTTCATTAACGGAGGATACGGATGACTATGGGGCCGAGGGCATTGCTCTGTACGATCTTGTTTCTCCGAATCAAACGTACCATTTCCAGTCATGGGAAGAATATTATGGACCCCAGCAGGTGAATGGGGCCAACCTCAGCCACATTGCCGCAAATTTCGACTTCAATGTGATATCTACCTGGGAACTTCCTATCCGTGGATATGGTCCTGTCAAGCTGAACGAAACTGCCACTCCTTTCGCACCCGAGGACATCCTTATTGTATGTTATTCAATTTTTATACAAAGGTGTATTGGGCTAACCCTTGCTAGGTGACGGATGGATATTGCACCTCAACCTGCACGCTTTTTACAGAGTTGATGACTCACCTAGGTGGTGTAAAGACTCTGGTCTTTGGTGGCCGGCCACAGAGCGGCCCTATGCAGGCAATGGGAGGATCTAAGGGCAGCCAGGTCGCCTCATCCGCTTTGATTGATATATGGGTCGAGGGGGCTAAGGCTCTTGCTGAGAAGTCCGCGCAGGGTGAAAAGCCATTGCTCAGCCTGGAGCAGCGTAAGGCTCTGGATGCCTCTGCTCCCGCAGTGGAGGAGCTTCCTTTCAACCTGCCTTCCCTGACTGTTAACTGGAAGAACTCGTATCTCCGCGAGAACCATGAGATCCCGGTCCAATTCCTCTACGAGCCAGCTGACTGTCGCCTGTTCTACACCTGGGAGAACTATAAGTCGCCTGCGACTACCTGGACGGCTGCCGCTCGCGCTTGGTGGGGTAATGGTACATGTGTGCCTGGCTCATCTGCGGCTTCTAATTCCACGGCGCAGGGAAGCCCTAACCACTAAGTTTTATGCCTGAAGCGCATACAGACCAACGACCACTCTAGATTTGCCTCTCATTTGGCACACGTTACAATTTTACGTTTAATATGATGTGATCGAAATTCGGTGGAACAAGCTCTCTGAAGACTCCTGCTTGTTTCCACCCACTTTCTGCTTTGCCTGTATAGATAGTCTCGGATTTGTATATATAGCCTTTCCACCCAACCTGATATGGTCAACACCAAAAGAAAGACGACTAATATGAGGATACGCTCGATACATACACATATAACCTATTGTAGTCCTCAACAATGTTGCTCCAGTGAGATGAAAACCAATTCAAGCACGGTATAGATAGAATGGGGCAATTTTGCTGTAGTCCAACCAATCTGACGAATCCCCTTACTTTAGACAAATTTGAAATGACACCATATTTATATGCATTTAATAAATCGTCAAGCGACCATTCGCAATTATCTACCTTATCGGCATGCCTGTCGGCTATCCGTTCTGTTATACTATTTGCTGGCAATTGGCCATGATCACGCAATTCCGAGAGATCTGACGCTTGCAGCGATATTCATCTTCCCCGCATGGTCTGACTCTCATAGATTATAAATCGGTTCAAGGTACGAAACTTTATAGTTATACTAGATTTACGAGCATACTCTCTAGAATCAAGGTCAAAAGTTAGTTACAATATGTGGAGAGTTAGCCGTGACGATTAAGAAAAGCATGCACTACACCCGGACTGTAACGTAAACAGATAATATACAAGCGGCCAGAGATATTATGATTTTATTAAGCGAAGGTCAGACTAAGGCGTCATTTTAATGCCGGTATCGCCATAGGATTGAGGAGCCAATCATCACCACAAGGCGTAAGTAAGATATCCATGAGAGACTAGTATAAAGAATGCAGTAACCCCCTCTCTCCAGCTCCGAGAAAGCCATTGCATAGACCGAGAAAGAATAATATCAAAGATTATCACAATGCCTGTTGAATTCATTAGTTTGACGTTTCCGAACGCCTCTACTGAGATCAAACCAATTCCTAATGCAACGATCGATCCAGAATATCTGGAGCGCTACGCGCGAAATCTAGATGACTATGCGTTCAACTACACATTGGTGCCCTACGACTCATCGTACTTCGACCCCTGGACAATAGGTGCCACTATCGCTGCCAAGACGAAGAATCTCAAGATTATTATTGCTCTTCGGCCAAACACATTGTACCCCACGGTGGCAGCAAAGGCACTCGCAACGCTGGACCAGCTCAGTTCTGGTCGTGTAGTTGTTCACTTTATTGCCGGAGGCAGTGATGCCGAGCAAGCAAAGGAAGGCGACTTCCTGACCAAGGAACAACGCTATGCCCGTTTGGAGGAATATATCCGAATTCTCCGTCGGGCGTGGGAGTCGCCAGATCCCTTTGACTGGGATGGTGAATACTACAAGTTCAAGCAGTTTTCCAACAAGGTTCGTCCTACAAAGGAGACTATCCCTGTCTCCGTGGGTGGGTCGTCCGATGATGCCTATCGTATTGGTGGTGCACTAGCCGATATTTTTGGGCTTTGGGGAGAACCCCTAAAGGAGACCAAAGAGCAGATTGAGAAAATCTATGCCGCAGCCGAAAAGGCTGGCCGGTCTGATCGGCCTCGCATCTGGGTGACCTTCCGACCCATCATCGCGGAGACAGAAGAGCTGGCCTGGGCGAAAGCGCACCGCACGCTAGATGCACTTCAGGCAAACCGACCCGGTGGCCAGGGTAACGCGCCTTCTCAGCCACAGAACGTTGGGTCTCAACGGCTGCTGGATATTGCGGCTCGTGGTGAGGTGCAGGATCGCGCCCTTTGGTATCCCACTGTTGTTGCCACGAATGCTCGGGGTGCATCGACTGCACTGGTTGGGTCTTACCAGACGATTGTTGACTCGATCTTGGATTATGTTGACTTGGGCGCGGAGCTGATCTCCATTCGTGGATATGATAACCTTAACGACGCGATCGACTACGGGCGATATATTCTGCCAACAGTCCGCGAGGCACTGCAGGAACGGGCAGCCCAATCTACGGCTTAGTTGGATCGCAGAGGTCTCTAGCTCTGACTGATACAGGTAGTGCTCTTATTCTTTGAAGCGCATGAACGACACTCTGCTGGGTGGCATATGTTTCTAGCTCATGCAATTCCTTTGTTGAACAGGGAGTTCAACACTGAGACCGGCTTATTGAATTAATACCTGATAGATGTACATACCCATCTAGTAAAGGCAAAACCAGGTCACAGAAACTTGTGTCGAGCCAGGTAGCGACTACTCTTTCTAACTTGCTATCCGACCATAGACTTGGATAAAGCTTTACTTTATGTTACAGGTCTACCACATGCTACCTTAGATTTTCACCATCTGAGGCGTAACGTTGTAATATTGTCTTCAAAGACACTTGAAATTTCTTTCTGCAGTATAACTTGCATTCGCACTTCCCACAAGCTCTGAAGGAATTGGTTCTTGAGAGTGGCATGATAAAACTGTACTTGGAGATGAATGGTGCCCTGTATGCTAGAAAAGAGACCCATTAGCGGCAGTACGTCCACCTTATGCGAAAGCTTTAACCACATTCCAAAGGCTTCAATAGTCTAATATCATACAATCGATCAGCCTATCTCCGTAGTACAAAATGGATTTCCCTTACGATGGCTCATTTCAAGTCTTGCTTTTGCTCAAAGTCCAGCACCGTGAAGCTCTTCACCCGACTCTCGAGCTTCACGGTACCAACCTGGTGAACAGAGAACTCCAGATCCTCACATTCATCATCCGAGAAAAAGAAAACTTTCTGGCCGGGAAGGAGCTCGTTAATGGTGACATGGAAGCCTTTGGGCAAGAAAGTCTTTGCGCAAACATCGGTCTCGGAGCTCTTCCAGTAACCGGTGGTGACTTCCCACGCGGAGGCGGCGAGAGGGAGGAGGGCGAGGGCAGCAGTAAACTTCATATTGTATTTATCGTTCGTGACGTGTGAGGAAGTCTGTTTGAAGAAAACGTCACTTGAAAAGCTCAAGAATGGTCAGGTAATTGCGAAGGTGGCTTGGAAGGCTGCATTTTATATAAGGGTATAGTGTTCTCTTTAGAACAACGGTACTCTGAATAATTATTTCCGCAACCGGCCCTTCACTGCTGTACTCCACTTGACAGACCACACACCTTCGTATCCATTGGTTGGGTTTTGTGAGTAGGACAGCAGGCAAGGGATGAAGCTACATTCTTGGCTGTTTTCGGTCGGGACGAACCCAAACTCGTTCCCGAAGGCCTGCTAAAAGTTATGAGTGACAGAACTTTATTAAACGTCATAATAGGCTCAGCTAATTCATAATAGGTCGTTTATTCCTCGTATGTTGCTCCCTAGACTCCAGTGGCAAGGATAGATCATTGTAGAAGACAGCCGATCGTGGTGTAACTCTGTTGACTAGTCTGTTTCTGAAAAATGCTATTATGTTGTACGCTAATCGCGCAGAGTATGGGTAGGAACGATCGACTAATGGCATTGTCTATCAAACGTAGTCTTTCTTCCAGCATCTTAGATACTGAACAATATGTAATCTCTGGCTCACGGTGGCAGAGTAACATTCGAACTTAAATTCAAGAAAAAGCTGCACCTCAGCCATTGACAGTTAAAAGTAATATACTATAGGCAATAACCAGTGTCCACTCAAATGGACTTTGTTGGGAAGACTGCAAGGGATGGGATGCTTTGAGGTTCGGTTTTGCTGCATCCGTCGAGAGGCTCAGCCAGCCACAACTTTCGCATTTGGTCAGGGGAATAAGGAACAAGGGGTATTGGTGCTTCTCTCTTCATTGTAGCTGGTGTGCCTCGACTCTGATTCAAGTGTGGCAATAAAGGGCTTGGGCTCGGAGTATTGCCAGGGCCTAGAACGCTCCAGCACAGTCAGTGAGCAATAGCTATATTAACTGACGATGTATAAACTACGCTATGAAATGTAGATACAAGCGTTAAGTCGGAACACAGATTATCAATCTCAATTGAACAGCAACCCGTATATACCGACAAGCCCTGTTTGCCAATGAAGCGTTACTCCTTCCACTCATCTCTGCCTAACCTTACAATATCAGCTTGTTCAAGGACCCAGTATTTTGATGGTGCCTTCCCCTCTTCCACCATACGAGCAGCTGCAACAGCTGCTCTACCAATGACAGTTTGATCCTGACCTGCACGTTGAAATCAGTACCCAGAACTTCAAAGGATTAAAATGCGATCAGGCTAATCATACCTATCATGTCCTGCACACCTTGTCCAAGTTTATTGAGATTCTGAACAATGTTCTCCAATAACGCAGCTTTGGGCTTTTCCCTTTGAAGGATCAACCCAGGCCTCAGGACAATACTATGTTGAAACTCGAGCTCCTTTATAGTATCCTCCACGCCAATCTTCATCTTCGAGTAGGGGACATAGCGAGAGAAAAAGCCCCTGGTCCCTCCACTGGAGATGAACACGTACGTCTTCACTCCTGCCGCCTTGGCTGCTCTGGCGTTGTCTATGCATAAGTCGTGGTCGATCTTCCATTGATTCTCAATTCCGCCGGCTGCAGCCCTCGTGGTGCCGACTGCGTTGAAGACTATTGATGGCTTTGGGGAAAGGGAGGCAATCATGTCGCCCCATTTCGAGCTGTCACCTTCTTCCAGGGTCTGTAGCTTGGGAGACTGTGCATTCGGTAATCTTCTTGACACAGTTTTGACGGATGAAAATGCGTCTGAGGCAAGGAGTGTAGCGAGGATCTGGCCGCCCACTGCCCCTGTAGAGCCAAAAACAGCTGCCGTCGTCATAGTGAATGGTGTTTGTCTGTAACGACTCTCCGTCTGAAACAGAAAGTCTACTGTTAGAAGTGCAGTGAGAGATGATGCTACTTTACATTAAATAGACAGAGGAAACAGGTAGGTAGCCAACGAGACGTCATCAGTGCCAAGCTCCCGTATTCAGATTAGCTTATGTTATCAGTCATAACTAGCTCGGCATAAACTAAAGTACAATGCTTGGCTTGGAGTATGCCGAGGTAAAGGCATCTTGTTTCCTACAATTATTCAGTAGATGTTAGATAGATGTATTCTACATTTTTCACCTAAAGCGTATGAAGGACAGAAATGGAAGATCATTTATTATGATATTAATAGTACCTGAAAGCGGTGGGTATTAGGTACTCAGCCCTTGCCAAGTCGGAGGATATGTTCTGTCGGAAGGTGTGATTACTTGTCTTGTATGCAAGGACGACGTTCGTCCGTTGAAGTTAAAGGCAATCCTAAATGTGACAAGGGGCACCTCAATCGATGCGACGTAGTCGGTATTTCTGAGCATGGAATCAACACAGGTGTCTTATATCAAGCCTATTATAGGCATACATTTGTGGACAACTGTTATGGACTGCTATTACTCCTATGCCAGCACAGGAGTCCGCGACGTACTGAATTATTTATTCTGACATTACGTGGCCATTATGATTCCCGAGCATGGTTTATATAAGGGTGGTATCCTATTCTGGTACTTAAAGATGCTTTAGAAAATTGAGAACTGGGATTGGAAACATGCGTAGATAACCGCGGTTAGGGGGAACGTCCACCCAATATATGCCGTTAAGCGCCGTAGCCCACAATGCCTCTAATAAACCTCGTATTATTATAGGTCTTTTTATCCCAGCTTTTTGTCTGCCTGCGCTAATGGAAGTCCTTGTTGCAGATTCATGTCAAGTTGCCACCAGCCCGCTGTGTTACTCGACTATTGTTGGACTGCGTACCCACATTGGGTAATAATCCACAACTGTGACGAATGATATCTCAGGAACAGAAGCTGATGGACTTCCAGTTCCTTGACTCGTCACTTGGCCCTCATAGAGTTGATGTACTGACGATTCTCTAGCCAGTCTTGTAGTGCGTGACGGCGCGCGCGGCGGCCTCAAATACTTGCTGAACTCCCTCCAAGGTCGTAGCTGAGCATTCGAGGTATTGACTAGCCCCGATCTGACGACAAACCTTGGTAGCCTGCTTGCGGGTGACCTGCTCTGTTGCCACCTGGGAAAGCGCTTCACTCGTCTTCGGCTTTTCATCAGATCGCAAATCCTTCTCACGGCCCACTAGCTTCGTCATCAACTGCGAGAATGCATTGCTCGCTTTCGGATTTTGTTCGCAACGCAGATCCTTTTTACAGCCAACTAATACAGTTGGCCTATTACCACAGAGACGCTGAGCTTCTGGGGCCCATTGTGTCTGCACATTTCTCAGGGATTGGGGCGAATCGATACAGAAACAGATCAAAAGAACATCACACAGATGGCAGGAGAGATCTCGAAGCTTGCGGTATTCTCCTCGATTACCAGTGTCCCAAAGAGCAAGCTGGGTCTGGCTCCCCGGGATCGGGGAGGTAACCTCGTGAAGATCTAACAGAGTAGGTAATTCGCCGCTCGCGGGGCTGCCTTGAGTGAAGGCAAGAAGGAGACTTGTTTTTCCACAGCCTGTATCACCGACTACCACAAGTTTGCGAGTAATATTGCTCATGACGAAGTACCTTCATCGGTTTGAAGGGGTTCATCTGGAAAACAGGAGGTTCCGCTTGAGGGAGAATTTCAGGCGGGATGACTCACACCCCGATATGCCGAGGTTAAACCGTGCGATTCTGTTATGCCTCTAATAGTCAACGCGAGTCAGTTATCGCTGGCTTTATCGTGAGGTTTATGGTGTACGGAAGGTGATTATATATATTTCTAAAGTATTACCTCTTCAGCCATCATAAAACAATCCATGTTCACTAACCAGTGGGGCAGGTGTGCCGAAGCTTAAATAGAACAATCTTCTGGCCTCATTTCTATTGATGGGACATATTCATACCGTGATCAGGGGAATATACAATGAAGATTCATACCTAGTACGGGTGTCTGTGATTGGTTCCTTTCCGAGTCCGGATGAGTAATCAATATTCGACCCGAATTTCGGGTCTTCACCTGGAGGTTCAGTTTCATCTTGTCTCCGATTTGAAGTCGCAGCCAAAGGACCTACTACGTTGACCAGATATGCCTATGCAACCTTTAATAAAAAGCAATGTAAACCAACCCAGAATTCGTCGTACCCACTCAGGTTGTCGACCATGCCGTAAAAGAGGAAAGCGGGTCAGTGAGCATCCTACTGCCGATATCAGGCATCTTCTGAATTGAACTTCTTCAGTGCGACGAGGCAAGGCCAAGCTGCCAGGCCTGCAAAAGGCTGTCACTGGATTGTAACTATGGTATCGACTATACTTTCCGTAACTTGGACGGGGCACTGTTCCAGCGGCAGCCAGCAGGTCAAACAACCTCAACTCGATCAAGCCCGATTTCGAAACGGAGTACGGCGAAGCGTGTGCTAGACCCTAAAATCAAGATTGGCATGCTCAATCACCTGAGCAGACTGGAGACTCCTAGTGTACCACTAACTGTTAGCACGTATCATGAGATAGAGGTCAGATACTTGAACCATTTCCAAACCCATGTGCGCCATCTCCTTCCGGCAGCTTCTCTGGAATTTATCAACAGATCCCTGCAATCACCGGCATTGCGATTCGCTGTGCTTTGCATATCAGCATCCAACCTCTCGATGCTCAACTCAGGAGTCCAGAATCGCATCTTACCAAATGATAGCCGGAAATCTGTTCACAGTCCACTCGTCAATGGCTTGCATCACAGTTTTGCCCAGAAATATCACGATCTGGCGTTCTGGAACTGCCGGGCTGCGGAGGCAGATGAAATAAAAAATGAAGCACCTGCCTTACTTGTTGCGCACGTTCTTCTGGCTTATTATCACCATGCATCGACCGATCATTTACAATTTCGAATCGCCGTGAGGGATGCTGTCCGATTCGTTTTGCAGAGCAGAACGAATATCGTCGATTCTGCAGATGGTGTTGACTCCTTGCAAATGTGGTACCGTCTCTGCACATCTCACCGACCAGCGAAGCCACCTGCTCTCCTCCTTGAAGGGGAGGGAGCTAGTTCCTTTGTGCCAAATCTCCTTCCGGATGTTACTGAGCATCTCTATCTCAACTGTATTTTGGGCATGAGTGTAAATGACCTCATTCATGACATCCTTATCAAGACACTTGAAATCCGGACAAAGCTGATGGTGTTTCGTTGCGTAGCAGCCATCCGTCAGGTCTCTGAGACATCGAGAGACATTGGTCCTCTTGCCCATGAGATGATGAATAAAATGCTAGGACGAGAATGTGGACCGGATGAATATGTGGAAGCCCGCGATAGCTTTGTCCGCGGCTCAAATCTACTAGGTCTGTTGGATGTGCAAAAAGAACGCCTGAAGGTGTGGCGATCTCGACTCAGTCCGGGCCAGTTGCAAACACAATACGGCTCTATTTCCAGTATACAAAGCCAAGGGAGCCCTGAAGATTCACATTTACTCACTAGCCAACGTATTCAGAACCATCGAGATGTCATGAACGCCTTGTACTGTTTACTGTGCGAAATGACATTCGAAGAAGCCAAGCAAGCTTTCACGTCGCACCACACGTCTACAGTTGTTGGAATCGATCCTTCAAATCCGATTGCCAACATGGCTTACAGCGCATACCATATTGCTGATAGTCTTAATCTTGCCGTGTCAAATACGTCGGACGTTTACACGATGAGTCTAGCGGAGGTATTGCTGCAACTTGTGTTTCTCTGGCGTTCGGATGAGCTGTTTCACTACATTCTGGATATTCTGTGGCCACGGCTTGAGGCACATGGGAGGGGATATGAGCACTCCCACTACCCTACGCATCTTGTCAAGAGGATTATAACTCAAGCTGCAGTATACTGGGAGCAGGGTCGAGTTGTAAACTTTGCTCTGCCGGCAGTCGCCGAGGATACATCGAAATTAAAACTGTTGGATATTGATCATCCGGTGGACCTGGTGGTGTGTGGGTACAACACAGATGGCATGTATTTCATTGAGAAAGGCCCGCTACCTTGATGTTTCTCTTGAGCCAATACATGCTATCAGGACTAGTACACCTGTTATGTACATGCCGCTATATCCCTTACAAACTTGCTTCAAGCACTATATTTTGTGTTACCCCTCCCTGGCGAGATCGGTGCCAACCGGTAACCTAACGGAAAATCGCGCAACTCCACGAACATTTCTAGCAGCCAGGTACTTGGTGAATTAGCTCATTCGGGATCCACTTTAACACTCATTATGATTTCCCAAGATGTGGAGGTTTTGGAGATGCGCATGGCGCTAGTCCTATTTGGGATATTTTTTACGCCCGTATTGCGCAGTACGATTGTGACGATTGGTCTAACCGTACTTAGTAAAGTATTGAACCGCCGGGGATATGTCTAACCTGCCTTGGATATTATTTACGCCGGTATTGAGATTACCGGATTGTTACCATGGCCTGAGGTTATGCAGATTGGGAAGACATACGCAACAGTATTTAAACACTCTCGTTAGCCCTCCCAGGTTTGAGTAGTGCAAGCATCTCTCTGCAACGCAACTTAAAGAAAAATGGCTCGTGCTGTATGGACCAACCTTCTTTCGGACGACTCTATCCGGAGGTCATCGCAAACCCTATCGGCCGTCGCAGGCAATGCGTATCTATACGGCGGGGAGCTGCGGCCTCGTGAGCCGGTGGACTCGGCTGTGTATCGCATCACCCTAGACAACAGTGAGAATATATAATTTAGCATTGAAGGACAACGGAATGCTAATATTTTATAGAACAACCTTCAGATACCAAAATATCCACAACCACTAGCACGTCGGAGAGCCCACAACCGAGAGTCGGGTCTGCCTCAACCACGATCGATGGCAAAGTATATATCTTCTCTGGTCGTGGCGGCACTGCTATGGCTCCGATTGAAGAAGCCGGTTCATTTTGGGTGTTTGACCCAAGTACCAGCACCTGGCTACAGGTGAAGCCCGCAGATCCTCAATCTCCATACCCAGCGGGACGCAGTTACCACGCTCTCGCGAGCAACGGCAAAGACACTATTTTTCTGCACGCCGGTTGCCCCGAAAAGGGCCGGCTCTGTGATTTGTGGGCATTTGACATTTCCACTCGTCAATGGCGAGAGCTAGCCCCCGCCCCTGGGCCAGAAAGAGGTGGCACATCCGTTGCTTATGCGGAGGGGAAGCTTTTCCGGATGAACGGCTTTGATGGAAAGACAGAACAAGGCGGTGCATTGGATGTGTATGACCCGGAGAACAACACTTGGAGCACCATTACATACTCGACGGATGGAGTTTCTGGTCCGGGTGCGCGTAGTGTGAGCTGTTTGCTGTCGCTCAAAATTGCGGGGAAGCCGAGCCTTGTTACTATGTTCGGTGAGCGAGACCCTAGCAGCCTAGGACACCAGGGAGCAGGTAAAATGCTTTCCGACGTGTGGATCTTTGATATCAAGACTGGAAAGTGGACGGAAGTACAAGCGGATGGCGAAAATGCCCCCGAAGGTCGCGGATGGTTTGACGCCGATGTGATTACAAATGCTTCAGAGGATAGTATTGTTGTCCATGGTGGACTAGCTGAGTCGAACAACCGGCTCGGAGATGTATGGCGACTGGACTTTTGATACGACAGCTAGTCTTCTGTGATGCCGGATAATTGTCAGGATAGGACTCTACTTCCCAGATTTCTCAGCATACATTCTTTCTTTTCCCCCATCTTTAGCTAAATCTTTAACTATTTGGTAGTCTTCTAAATCCCGCTGTACGTATTAACAGATTACATGGGTCCATATTAGAATTCTAAAGATATATGTGGACCTAAGCTGTATCAGTGTAGTTCTCCAGCTGTTTCATTTAGGAGCTACTAATGGGCTCCGCGTAAGACCGAATTAAACCGTCATATTACATGCCGTTTTCGGGAAAGCTCCCGGAAATATCAGGTACAGCTAATACATTCATTAATACCCTGGTGGAGTAAGACGAATCACCGTCCTCCTTCGTCGTGGGTTGCCACTGGAGGAGACTGCCCGTATGGATGCACCATCGACACATAGCACTTAATACCATGTGTTCTTGGCGATCGTTCGCTTACGTCTATTTGTCTGTTTGTCTTTCGTTTGGTTTCAACTTATCAATGTTCTAAATATCACGCCAGACTCCGTAGACTCGGATGCTCACGGTTCCGTCCATCATTAAGCGTTCAACTTCTCCTATTAGTAACATTTCCCTACAGAAAGAGACACAAAAAGACAAAGAACCTATTTATGTCGTCAAATTGTTTACAGTCTTTTTATGCATCTCAAAGATGACGGCACGCGCGGCCCAGTCATCGACTCCTCCAGAGTACTCCCCTCTGCTTTCTGCTGACCCAGAAGCTGCTGGTCATGCACACTCAACATTTCCTCAGAATCAGCATGAGCGTCATGTAGCCAATGCGCCCCCCAGCAAGCTTGCCCGTCACCTGTATATATCGCACTTCCTATCAACATGGAATTCTCGCGTCTTCGAGTTCGGGGCCGTCCTCTACCTTGCTTCGATATATCCGGGAACCCTGCTACCTATGTCAGTTTATGCTCTTTCACGAGGCGTCGCAGCGATTCTGCTGGCACCAGCGGTGGGGTATTTCATTGATACTGGAAACCGACTGCAAGTAGTTAGAGTCTCGATCGGTGTGTGATACCCATTATAAAGTTTGGTCTGCTGATATACTTATCAAAGCCAGTGCTCCAAAGAATCGTGGTCGCGGCATCTTGCGTGATTTTCTACTTGCTTGCGCTTGACCTACCCTTCCTCAGCGAGATTGATAATATCTTGCTGGTAGCATTGGCGCTCCTTGCCTGTGTGGAGAAGCTATGCTCTATCATGAATCTAGTCTCCGTTGAGAGAGATTGGGTACGTATTCGAGAATAATCCTTCTGTATAGACTCACGTTCACATGATTTGTTAGGTTATGGTTGTTGCAGGAAACAGCCACGAAGGCCTCAAAAGTAAGTACTAGCTATAACTAGTGGTCTGTACTTGGCACTAATGCAGTTTAACTTAGCCATGAATGCCCAGATGCGAAGAATCGACCTTATCTGTAAGCTTATCGGGCCGCTTGCGATAGCTTTGGTCGATAGTGTGTCGACTGAAATTGCCATCTTGTTCAATTCGGGAATGAACATTTGTTCTGTGGTCGTTGAATACTTTTCGATAGCCAGAGTATGTGCTAGAAACCGCAGTAGAACTCCTTCGCAGGCAATTACTGGTTCTAACGGGTGGCCTCAGGTATACTATGAAGTACCCGAACTGCAGCAGCCAAAGACGAAGGCATCCTTCGACGAGCCAAGTACAGAATCCGACCAACAAAATAGCGTGGCACGCCTTTGGAACTACTGCCATCGTATCACACACAAGGCCGTGGGAGACTTCACCTCCTACTTCCGTCACCCCGTGTTCCTCCCCTCGTTTTCCGGAGCTTTGCTATATCTGACTGTCCTCTCATTTGCTGGGCAAATGGTCACATGGCTCCTGTCAACAGGATACGACTCTACGCAGGTCGGTATCGCGAGAACGCTAGCTGTAGCCTTTGAGGTTCTCGCAACCTGGATCGCCCCTTGGCTCATGGGGCGAATCGGTCCCACTCGTGCGGGTTTGTGGCTAGCGAACTGGCAGATCGCTTCCCTGGTAGCCGGGATATCTATTTTCTGGATATTCCCCGACCAGCCTCTAATCTCTGCGTCAGGTCTGGTAGGAGGCACAATTCTCAGTCGAGTCGGATTGAGAGGCTTTGATTTGTGCGTGCAGATTCTTGTTCAGGAGGTGAGTGCTTTTCAGGTACCCGCAGGGGACAGGTCAAGCTCGTTTGATCCACTTCAACTTGGGCATAGGAAAAGAATTAAGCATAGGTCATGACTAACATACATCAAATACAGGGTGTCGGAGCCGAAAACCGAGGTAACTTCTCTTCGATAGAAGCTGCATGGCAGAATGCCTTTGAGATCGGCTCGTACATCTCGACTATTGTCTTTTCGCGACCGGACCAGTTCGGATGGCCGGCACTGATCAGTATCACTGCTGTGGGTATTGCCGGGATACTCTATACGGTCTTTGCTCGCATGAAGCGTGGTCATTTGATCCATGTTCCGAAGTGGATTGCCGCTCCGGGAATGCTGCAACAAACGAGGGAGAGGTGCCTTGAACGAATTTCTTCGGCGTCGGACTTTTAGCGTTGGTGTATTGGGGATAGGTGCCAGTAATGGATTTGGTAAGCACCTGCGCATTTGTTGGTTACCTGGTGACATACAAATCAACTTCAAGCGAACTAGGGTACACGCCGAAAAAGAAGGATGTTATGAATATTGCCAATGATTGATTACTTTATGGACTGTGGAGTGAACAATATGTACAAGGACAAGGACACAAGGATTGACAAGCGGTGAACGACAACGAAGATGGACAGGGTATTATAGATGATGTACTAATAACCCAGTAGAAGTTTTATAAGAGTCCACAAGTAAGATTTAACACGTTTCTAGCCTTCCTAGTCCGCCGCTCTCATTGTATGTCCCAGCGTCACTCCATCATTCTCTCGTACCTAACGTGTCGAAGGTATAAAGACAAGATCTTCAACGTTCTCTCCCGCCTCCTTTGCATCTTTGATATTCTCCGATGGTAACTTGTCCTCCCTTTTATGTTGGCATGTAAGCTCACCTTCACCTTCACCATGTTTTGGTCCACCGGCCTCCTCAATCGCATCCTCAACACAGCCATTTTTGAAGCCCGACATCGTGAACGTAACCTTCTTAGTGTCTCGCTGCCTGCCCTGGAATTCTGACTTTTCATGGGCGTAAAACAGGTAATGAGTGATGTCGAAACTTATGAAAAAATTGTTCTTGTGGCATCTCTTCTTCAGTACCTTCGAGAACGACTGCCCATCGGTCCACCCATTGATACCAGCAACTCTGAACACAACCTTGTTTAATCCATTGTCATCCAATATGTCACAGGAAGCTGATGGTTTTGCAGCAGCCGAAGTCCAGGAGGCCTCTGCGTCCTCGGCAGCCGACTTGGACGCAGCAGCAGATGCCTCGGCAGACACAGAGGCCGCATAGGCAGAGGCGATAGATTCCACAGTAGAGATCACCTTGGTTTCTCCAGCGCACTCGGGGGTTGCTTCGTGGTCGTCGTCAGCGTACTTGCCTGAGGCGCAGGATACGACTTCACCATTGAATTGAGTCGTGGTAACGGGTGGAGGCTCACTAGTCGATGTTGCGGTGGGTGTTGGTGTCGGTGTCGGTGTGGGCGAGGGTCCAGGCGTGATTGAACGACTCAGACTGGTTGATGGTATCATCGTTGGTATTGGGAATCGTGGCATACTGCTGGACCCGCGGTATATGGGGGATGCTGCTGCGTTGATCAACGGGCCATTAGAGGCGGAGTTCATTTGCACTGGCACACCCATGTGCACTCCCTGTGGCACATCTGGTTGAATCGTTTGCGCCGACGCCGGGGACCCCTGTGCGCCACTGAGGAATGCATTCATTGTAGCGGCCGCAGGAAGGACTAATGGAGGCATAGCCTGCCCCATGTTTCCAGCCGGTTGCATATTATTCCCCATCACTGTGTTTAGGCCATTCTGAAGCGGACTCGCCTGTGGAGAGATCGGCGCAATATAGCCGGCTGGCGGAGCCATATTGTTGCCATACCCATTGTTTGGACCTCCCGCCGATGCCATATTGTTATTACTACCTCTCTGTAGTCCATCTTGAACGGGGCTTGCTTGAGGCGGGTTAGGCGGCATAGGAGGTGGGTACATGACGTTTCCAGTACCGCTGTCTAATCCACTTTGAACAGGTTGTGGAGAAGCAGAACTCGATGCAGCCACGGGGGGAATCATGTCATTGAAATTACTGTTTTCCATTCCATTGACTGGAGCGTTCGCTGCAGAGTCCGATCCTAGCTGTGCGCCCACATTGCTCAGCACGTCATTAGTCTGTTCATCTAGAGATTGGGTGGGCAAATTATTTATGCCGGGCGATCCTCCTGACTGATCAAGACCATTTTGGATGCCATTTTCTAGTCCTTTCAGAAGGTTCCTGCCGGGAGAGCCCAAGAGAGGATTATTGGCCGGACCACCAGCAACTTCAGGCGCTTGGACGGCACCTACCTGTGCTGGTGGAACTTCGATTGGGGGAACATCTGCTGGTGCACGAACGACTGAACCACCAATAGCTTCGGCACCAAATACACCACCAGCGGCAGGGGCGCCACCAGCAAAAGCACCCCCAATGGCTTCGGCACCACTGCCCAATACACCACCAGCGGCTGGAATACTACCAGCAACACCACCACCAACGGCACCACCAACGGCACCAGCACCGGCTTCGACACCACTCCCCACTACACCAGCACCGGCTGGAACACCTCCAGCTGCCGGAGCCGCTACCGGTGGAGCTTGTACCGGGGCCGGGGCCTGAGGAACTGCTCCAGGCTGAGGGCTTGCAGGTGCAGGGGGAGTATTACAGCGGAAAAGACAGGGAATATTAATTGCGTCAAGCAAGCCAGGCAGGTTGAGATATGTCCCCTCGGTCTCAATTCCGAGCAAACCCAGTCCGTCAATCACAGGAAGAATGGTCTGGATGCCATTTAGAGCAGTTTGTAGAAGACCATTCCGAGATGCCATAGACTCAATTTTTATGGTGGAGAATCGGGGTGGTACGTCCGTGAATGTTGGCAGGCGCGGTGCCCTTGTTATAGGAGGAATCAAGTCGTCGTCTGTCGTGGTGTCCGAAGACTCGTCTGCGGCGTTCGACGAAGGAGCTGAGTCAGGAGGAAAGGTGCTAGGTGCAGGCTGTGGTGCAGGATCTGCAATAGCTGATGCATAGGTTGAGGGCTCCGGTACTGGATTAACCTGTGCGGAGCTCGAGGTCGAATACCCGGAGATTGATATACTCGCATCTTCGTAGTGGTTATTAGCGGGGATGAGAGGGGCGCTAGATGTGGAAAAAACCTCTGCTGGGGGTCCTAGTGGCGCACTTGCAGGGATATATCCATTTGTGTCAATCTGAGCCCTGTTTGGGGCCATTGTTGGATTACTAGCCCGAGCCTTGGTCCATGTTACTACTATTGTTGATGTTATGACCTGTTGAGGGCCCATAGTATCGATATCGATAGCATTCCCATAAGCTGGGGCCTCCTGGTTCGCCTGGTAGTTTGGAGCAGGACCATTCGCAACCATATTTTGGGGTTCCATCGCATTTTGAACTGGGCGGACAATGTTACCACCGACGTTGACATTTAGAGATGCATCGGAGACACCATAAGCGCCGTTACTGTTAATACCGGAATGCCCGTCGGGTGCCGGCAAACTGACACCATGCTGTACTAGCAAGAGAACCAGAGGGATTGATTTCCGGTACATGGCTTAGGAGCCTTGCACTACTCGCACCGTGATTCGAAAGTTGGTAAAGGCAATATGCACAAGAAAATCATAGATAACGAATGTTAGGGCCAAGTGTACGTTGTCCTTAAAAAGAGAGAATGACAACAAATTGTGAAAAGAGTGATAGGTTAACCTAAGTGGATGCGTATTCCAGCCATAGGTGACCCAATAAAGGACCTAAAGGATAACGTTGTGATGTGGGTTCTTCCCTTAATTTATCAACGGGGTGAGCCCGGGTAGATATATTAGTGTTTTGGTATCCTACAGCCCACGAGGCCAGTGGATAGATCATGTCTTCAGGGTCACATTGTAAGTATCAATTTTCTGATATGGCTCCTTTGTTTATCGGGCACTGGTTTAGTGGTTTCTGCTTTGGGGGCTTGGCAGGGGTATCTAAAATGATGCCACTGGGGCTTAAAAGAACCGGCATTAACAGATGAACATGACCTTGTTTATCAGTACGAGTGCCGCTGCGAGCTATGGCGAGCAAGGGGTTTCATCCACTTAGCTACGGTATAACTGGATAGTAAACAAAGAAACATTGGCCGTTTGGAGTGTATGATGAGTCTATAGCGCTGACCAGGGCTTTGGCGCCCAGAACCCTAATGGTGAGAGGGGAACCGTGATTCGCGGAGTCTCTTTGCCCGGCAGCAAATTGTCCACCTAACGTTGCCCGGCGGGTTTAACAAGATGGTGATAGAAATTTGGTCATTACGCCCAAGCAGTGTATGTGTTAGTTTGGATGCTCCCTGCCTCAGAAAAAGTTCACTACTACCTGTGTGTCCACATCTCCAGCGCCGAGTCGCACCTAATACAACTCACCAATAGCAGTCTTATCAGAGCAGTATACGATATTCTAAATATAAAGCAATGTAACTGTCGCGCTATAGTTCAGAGTTATTTAAGAGTATATATCTTTATCTACAGACCAATGATAGACTACAGGACCGCTGATCTCAACAAGGATTCGCGTCATTAAGATTTACATAAACATTTGCACCTAGTTAAATCTCGCAACCTACTTTTCGATCGTCCTTTCGCCCCAAGTAGACTTAAGGAGCTGATAATCCTCCTTAAGTTCGTAGAAAGATGTATATGGAATTCTCTTCAGCATCAGCCCCTCCGGGCTTCCTCAGGAGAGGCTGTTAACACCATGATATTTTACTATGCATTAATCGACAGAATGTGGTTCTGAATTGCACGAATGCGTAGGTTACGAGGAGCCCCAATAGACATTTAGATGCCTTCCACGATACGACCTACCAAAGTTCGATTTCATTAGATTAATGCTGTCTGACACCGTATTTTAATACAAATCTCCTGAATTACCAGCAAATGTAAAATCTGTAAGTGCTATGGTGGACAGTATGCCCAACCCATGATACTTTGCCGTCGTTGAGAATAGGAGCTACTGCCGTAGTACGGGTTTAATATAATGGCATACCCGCTAACTTCCTTGCATAGTCGTGAGCCCAGTCCCATCTTCATGGGGCAGGACCTCTCATAGAAGGGGTATGTATAACTCCATCCCATCTCATTTTCCCCGGTAGTAGGTTCTAAGATGATTCCCAATGTATGGCGTAGTAACATACCGGGGCAAGCATCGTGCTAAGGTACCAACGTATCCAACGGTTAGAGACCAACTGTTTTACAGTAAGTCCGTTTCCCCCATGTCTGGCTCTCTGTCATAAAGATTGTCCGCTACCAATCGTAGATTATCTTTCTAGCTATTCATTCTGTATATACTGTAGGCATAGGGTTGCAAACATTTGCCAATTCAGGAGAAGAATAAGACTAAGGCATAACGCCTAGAAAAACTATAGATCTCCTAATATGAAATTATGACCCACCTCTATGACAGACAGGCTGGCAAGATACCTCGTCAGTGACAAAGCAATACTCAGCGGGAACAGAGCTTAGGTATCATGTCTTTCCTCAATCTCAACAATGAACGGGGCGCATTTGTGGGTCCTCATTCCCGTCACTCTGTAAATAACCGATTTTGCTTTGATCCTTTCTTTTTGCTTATGTGCCGTACCTGCGTTTGTGCTCCTACATTGCTATTTTAGTATTTAGGTAAATGGGTGATCTCAAGGGGTAGTTGTACGAGTGCTACAGACTGACCCGCTTTCCATGATTAATGTCTCTATCATATTTGTACCTATAGATGGCTCTTTGGTTGTCCAATCCCTCTGCCCTACTCTAGCTCGGTAATAGATATTAGAGACTTATGGCCGGGGCATAAAGCAGTCAACTGTTGCTCAAACCATTGATGAATAGCGTAAATAGAGTTTGGTAAAATTCATGGCCGACCATCTTTGAGTAACAGGAGATATTTTTAAATTCCTTTATCGTTAGGTTGACTCATTGAACACACCGGGAACTGAGCCTAATGAATGGACGACATCGCCATTAGCTCCGACTGACCAAAACGTCATTCTTGGGGCACTGCGTCAAAGCTATAAGATATAGCAGAGTGGGAGATTCAACGTTATTTGCGATCAGCATAATTACTTCGATATTATAATGCGCCACAGAGAGAGCATGAGATTATAAATGCGTCAACATCAAGCAACCGATGGCTTCACTGCAATCCTATTCTCAATCCGCGCTATACCACGTTCAAATATATAGTTCCATCTAGGAACATGCTATCACTGTTCCAGTAATCTTCTCTTCCGAAGCGCCAATGCCATTTGGTACATAACTAAGAGGACCTGGGGCTTTCTAGTTTGATAACTCAGGGACTAGTATATTTCCGATATTTTCTTTACTCTTCCAAGGCTATGCTGGGCAAAGACGACATCGTATCCACGGCTGACGAATTACCAAGACTTGACCCATCGCTCGAAACCGCTTCTGCATATGCCCGAGGGTGGTAATCGGCGCTCGTATAGGTAGTTTGAAACCCTTGCCTATCCACCTTAGACAACAACGTAAACTCCTCAGGCGTCGACATCGTGCCGTAGAGATTCCAATGGGCAACTTCGGTAGCACCATTCCAACTGACCCAGAACGTGGTCCCAGATCCCGGGGCAGCCGCATATGTACGAAGAGAGGGTTTATCGCTTGGCTCTCCGGTCCAATTAAATTTGAAAGCACGGTAGTTCATCTCCCGCGAATCATTTAATGTTGCGAAGAACACGGGGGTTCCGTCGTCAGTATGCTCAGATATTGAAGGATGGCTACCCCATCCGATGAAAGCGTTTTCGTTCGCCAGTATTTGGAGGTTCCCCTGGCTAGTCGACAGGAGCCCGTTATCTGGGGCTTCGTACCTCTTAATGAGGTTTGATGTATTGGTTTCATGGTCAATTGCCACGATAATACCCGAGGATGTTGATGACGTGTTTCTATACCCGTTGCTTGCATTATCGAAGAGTGAAATAACAGTAACGGTATCATTCTCCTGGAGAAACCGCGCATCATGTTGAGAGGAGAAATTGTAGTTCTGCATTTCAATGGAACTATTTGTACCACCCAGTCGCCATTGAATGGATCCATCTTTACCAGATATCTTATAGATGCAGCTGGTATGTCTAGCAGATACTAGATAGTCACCATCATTGTTCTTATCGACTGAGTTAATGTGAAAGTAGTCCCAAGCAGTCGCATTACTAAGGCCATCACCCACGACAGTGTTAAGTCGAATCGGGGTATACGTTTCCGAGATGCCAACATGATCGAGAGACCTCCACTCGAAGAGGACCTCGCCTGACGTAATATTGATCTCTTGAAACACGCCATCCATGACCCAGCCGTTGTCCGCGGGCACATCGTACGCCTCTAGGTTATAGCGGCGCGGCTGGTAAATGGCGATGAGAATGGAGGTGTTATCAATAATGTTCAACTCATGCATATCGCTCAGCGTTAAACCATTTCCACTCTGTACAGTCGCCACTTGTTTATAGTCTTGATCCAGGATGATGTTGCGACCCCTTGCATAACCTTCTATTTGATTTCCTTGGAAGTAGCATAAATGATCGGACCCCTTGTAGGGGCACACCTGTAGATCATGGAAGAGCTCGGTTGTGGAGCCATCGGCTCCGCTCCATACCAAATCCTGGGCTCGTAGATCAGCTAGATTGTTCATAAATGTAAAGTGGAGTAACTTACACCATCAGTGTCATATATATATGGCCCTGGTAATTCTGTCTCATATGGCGCTATAAATATATAGCCCGGTGTAATAAAAGAGTCGTTCCTAAGACTAACTTCCATAATCGGTGCACGGATGTCTGGTCTCTGGTTGAGAATCAGCGTTGCCCTAATTATTGGAATGACTGAATAAAGGCCCAACCGATTGGAAAGAAATCCATGTTGCAGCGTTGACTATGCTCGCTATCGCCAACGTGCATATCATGGTCCGAAGCCTGTCCTCATAGGAGCAGAAGCTCCTGCTGGTTCGAACAACCATGTCTACTGTTGCAAGCCCAGGTTCTGTTCTTCGAAATATAAAATGCTCATAACTCTTTGATACTAATTGGTCTGTAGCAAGACTTCTAGGATAGGTACAATATTCATGAACCGGAGGATTGTGGAGGCCGATGCAGCATTATCTATTCGGGTCTGGCATCGGCTGATTCTTCCTCAAATAAAATATAGAGACTGCATATGCAGAGGCGTACGTATGCATATCCAGTATCATGGAAAATTTCATATTGTGGTTACGTCATGACTTCCATTATTAAGCTTTGGACACTCTATGCCTAGATCACTAGGGCCTATATGAAAGACCATGCCAAGGACAGTGCTTTAGAACACGATCGTAACTAGACTTGATCTGGCGTCGCCATTGGACTTGAGAGGATATGGTCTGGGCCAATCTCCCCCTGTCGGCATGTCACTCAATTGGTGGACTTGATGTAGTTGAAATACATGTATGAACCCCATTCCGTGTAAGAACGAAGAACATAACGAACGCATTTAGAAGTGACTAACTGTAATTGAGCTTAACTATCAGCACATTGTAACGTTCAAGGCCCGCGAGGAGGCTAGTTGTAAGAACAAACCCAGGTAATTATGGGGTCATACGCGAGCAGTATGAACCTTCTATGGCGACACAGCCAATCAGCCGAGAGGAATCTATGTCATCTAGCAATTCTGGAGATCACCCGAATCCGGGATTGCCGAATGGTAAACGAAACCTGGCATAGCCCCACGTGAAATATGCTGTTTCCGGAGGTCCAAAACCATGGGTCAACCTTATCATAAACCTTATCATAAACTGGAAGTCGACACATCGAACACACTGTCTGATCATTGGATGGAACATATTTTATCCAATCATAAGACCATGGTGTGTGTGAAGTCCGGGGCTCAAGTATATCTAATTTAAGTGACTCCGTGAGCCTCTCCCAAAGTCGGAAGACCTCGTGCTCAGCTGCTGAACCATCAATGGATGTGGCTTCGGGATGACAGAACAATTCCCTCGCTCCGTTGCCAATACCCAGTGCTGACATCATCAAGGTCTTGGAGCTGAATTTCTCATGTCGTACTCAGTAGAAGTGGTAACATTTGCACGTACACACGCTACTGCGAGAATGAGGTATAAGACCTTTGTAGCACGTTTCTTACAGGGCTATACGCTTCTCATCCCACTGCCTTTACCAGGTTTGCTGGCGGAGGGTACTGTTATAACTATTCCTCTACGCCATATACAAGGCCTGCTTTAACTCTCGGTCCTCCACTCACTTATATTAAAGTCTACAATATTGCAATTCGTTCCATTTGGAAAGAACGTTCCTCACCATGGAGACAAACAACGGATACAGTTCGTCCCCTTTTAGACGGACATTATTGGTCACGTACCCTCGTACTGCATCCAACCTACTCGTGAGAATGCTGTCTCTAGAAGAGCAAGAGAATGTCATCTCCAACGAGAAGGGAGGCTATTTCTTCTGGGACTCCTTTATGAAAGGCAGGACAACAAATTCTACCTATACACCAGTTGAAAACTGGACAACGGAGCAAACCGAAGAGATGCAACAGATCTTTCAGTGCGATTTTAATCGCTGTGAGAGCACATCACATCGCGCTGAATCTCAGGGCAAGCTATTTTTTGCAAAAGAACATGTGCAATGGTTCGCAGATCCGGCTGCCATTAGCGATTATCTTTCACATAAAGATAGCCAAACGCCGTCCCCGGTGAACATCAAAATTCCGAATTCGTATGGCACGTTCCAAAGGTTCTCACCTAACAACCTCACAGTTTTTCCCGACCAGTACTTGGAGACCTGGAGGCTGACCTTCCTTATCCGTCATCCTGCTTTAGCATTTCCGTCATTCTATCGAGCGATGAGAGAGTTGGAAAAGGAGGAATTTGCACAACCTCATGAAATATGCCCGTTGATGGAATTGAATGCCACGCTGAGATGGAGTAGACTTCTTTACGATTGGTCCTGCCAGCATGAAGACAAGTCAACCATCGGTTGTGACAGGGATATTCGGTACCCCTTGGTACTAGATGCCCAAGACATCATACATCACCCTGAAATTCTCGCCAGGTACTGCAAGCTCATAGGGCTCAACCCGGTCCATCTCAAATCGGAATGGAATGTACCGGATCGAAAGATGCAGAACGGGGCCGCGGACAATATTAATCACAAAAGCCCTGAGAGTGTGATGAAGTTTACCCTTGATAATTCATCCCATGTCTTGAAGGACAAGACGCCGGCTATTGTTGACATTGGGCTCGAGAGGAAAGGTTGGGATCAGGAGTTTGGGATAAGCATCGGCGAAGCGATGGAGAAGTGGGTGAGGGAGGCAATGCCAGATTATAATTATCTTCGATCGAGAAGGTTACAAGCGCGAGATCCGTGAACAAGGATTTTCAATCCACCCCTACTGTACTGAAAGGTTTAGCCTTAATAAGCAGCTATCGCTGGAAGGTATAGGTTGCTATTCGCTATCCTTGCAGTCTTGCCTTCATACGATATTATATACTCATATTCCTATTCGCTACTAATATATCCCGACTAGCTCCAATAGGGTACTTCGGGTTTATCCGAAGAGGAGGAACCATCTGCATCCAGAGTTTTCGGGTGGCGACCTACCACATATTGTATACCCTGGGAACTGCGTCATTCCATGGCCAGAATACGATGTTGTCACTTTGACCTTCCTAGTAGATTTGGTCCATTCAAGTAGTCATCAAAATAGTCGTAAGAGCTTCATGTATATCTCAATAGCCATATCTGGCAACCTGAACGCTGCCCGTCAGATAGGCTAAGGTTATCTATGCCTTTAGGGATATAGCCATTACCTACTAACTACCAGGCAAAGAGATCTTCTAGTATTACAGTCTCTTTTTTTGCCATTCCCATATAATAAAACAAGATAACATTCCCATACAATAGTTACAAATTGGATCGCACTATGAACATACAGAGAAAATTGACCAGCAAGAGGCACACACGAGACTTGACGTTAATACTAAACTATGCTTTTCCGACTTCCATCCCTAGTACTTCGGAGAATAACAGCCCTTCAATCGGCCTCAACATGGCTAACAGGGCAGCCCCAAGTAAAAGCCCCTTTGTAAGCTTCGGATGTTTGAAACATAGCAGTACAGCGCTAGGCCTTGTGCCTGCACTTGCAACGATCCCAGTCCCAGTTATTGCAGTTAGACTGGAAGTTGTCGCACCTTTTGCCCCTGCAGCGACAGCGGTCCCAATCCCAGTCCCCAGGCTTGCAGTGATTATCTGCTTGATGACAGACATTTCTGCACTTGCAATGATCCCAGTCCCAGTTTTTGCAGTCAGACTGGAAGTTGTCTCACTTTTTTCCCCTGCAGCGACAGCGGTCCCAATCCCAGTCCCCAGGCTTGCAGTGATTATCTGCTTGATGACAGACATTTCTGCACTTGCAATGATCCCAGTCCCAGTTTTTGCAGTCAGACTGGAAGTTGTCACACCTTCGGCCCTTGCATTGGCAGCTGTTCCAGTCCCAGTCCCCGGGTTTGCAACGGTGGTCAGGCTGATCGCACTTTTTTTTCATGCATCTACATTGGTCCCAGTTCCAGTTGTTGCAATGGGAATCAAATTGGTCGCACCATTTGCCATGACACTTGCAGCTCTTCGAATCCCAGTGGCCTGACTCACACCGGGGCTCCTGCTGATTACATGTACGCTTGAAATGCTCCACGGTCGAGTCACGTTCATAGAGGCCTTCCTCGTATACATCAGCATCGCGAGCTATAATGCCTCAGAGATGAATTATGAGAGGAGATGAAGACACACCTTCAAGACCGTCCACTTCATGGGCCTCTGCTACTGGAGAGGCAGATACAAGGCTAAGGATGAAAAAGAAGAAGACAATCAGATTGAACTTCATGATCAGGGATTTTTTGATGACTGTTGGCTAGGCCCGATATTATTGGTATCAGTTGCGTTGGATTAATCTTAATGTTCTTAATTTGTAGGTGGAATAACCCTGGCAGAACGGGTTGTTATATAGATGGCAGGAGCTGCAATTATGTCAGACATATAGCGGCATATGTTGGTCTATTCTTAGTAGTGTCAACTCATGTCACTCTAGGTGAAGTCTATCAGGCGTTCTACTTTTGTAGTGAGACTCTAATTTGGATACGAGATCCAGATGCACCGAGGTGCATACCACTATTTCAGATGAAACTCAAAGATAGACTATCAAATTCTTGTATGTAGCGACAAGTCGGTTGATACATCCGGCTGAGGTTAATGGGTCTGAACCTCCAGGCGCGAGATATGATATGACCCTGTGGCTGAAGTATGTTGCTGTTCGCTGGTCGAGCCCAATCCACGAATAGCTCCATTTCTCCACGTTCCAAGTCTCACCTATGGATGGATACCTGAACAATGCAAATAAGCCTTTCCTAATCATTACATATAGTCTTAGAATTGAAATAGAGAACCAGGTGCATCGCCCGTATTCTTGTATTTATATACGGTCTAGACTTTTGAAATGTAAGACTGTGTCCTACTCTGGAGGTTTGAGGTACTATTTAAAGCAATAAAGTTCCGTTCGACACTTCTAGCCGGCGGTAGATCCATATAAGACATTCTTGGCTTCCGTCTTCGATTCTCGCACCCCGAACCTTCTCATTAGGCTTTTTCTGCTTTGCTTCAACCTTGGCAACTTGGCAGATATTCTAGTCATACGATATCGGCGGGGATTTGGATTCGTTCGAAATCAGGCGCGAGGCCAGTTCTAGATGCAGACCAAATAACGAAGAAAATATCTGTTTTTGTCATCATTCAGAAATTCAAGGGCGGAATCCCATCCACAAGTAAAAGTCCTCTCTTCCCCTGGATCCTTGTCAAGGCTATTATGCTCTTCCGTTGAAACACAGCTGCTTGAAAGTCCGCTGGCTCTTCATCTGATTGGTTATATTTTTGGCTTCGGTCTGTAAAGTATAAAAGGCAGCGCTGTCGTGCACATCCTGACTTGGCCATTTACGTGAGTGCAGCTCCTTATACAGCCGGTCTGACTAAGTATTATGAACGGAAAATCATAGTGCAATGGATAAGGGAGCTCACGAAACAGCATACTTAATTATGAAGTCCCTAGAAGCTTTTGTTGTATATCATCTCGAGCATCTCAATTTTGCCGCATACTATAATACACTGTGGCAGCTCGAGGTCCGAGATCGGTCGTGGCCAAACAGGTTGATGTATGTAATAAGACTCGAGACGCCCATCAGAATACAATCCCACCTATTGAACTGCAGTCTAGACATGTCATGCTTTCCGTCCAAGAGCCAGAAATTAACCCCAACAGTGTGGATCTCAAGTTAGTGCTTCCATTCAATAGACCCTGTTCTAACTCCCTGTGCAGCGGCATTTGGCCCAGTGTAATTGATGATAACAGGCTTGAATTATATCGGCCTACCAAGCATTCCCCTGGCCTTGGACCTTTACGGAACCGGCCATAGATGTACTGGGGGCAGTAGTGGTAGTCAGCGAGGGCCATATTTGCCGAAACTGCCGATCATTTCCTCGCATGAGGAGTTCGTTGTTGATTACAATTATTTGATAATCGCTCAGCAGTCGATTATCCGCTTTGGGCACTCACCATGTTGATCGTTGCTGCTTTCCACAGACTCCGTTATTACTCAAGCACATGCTAGTTTTAACCCTGCAGATCTCTCCACCTTGTGCACCAATGGTCATGTCTAAAGCCATCTAATCTACCCTTTATTAACCCGGAGTTTGACCGAATATCAAGCTGATCATCATATAACGAGGGAATTCCTTGGTTGTGAATTGCAGTATCTAGTTCCCATTTTGCCATCAAGGCTCAGAACAAATATACCGTCGGTGCTCTGTCCCCCGAATGTTCTGACCATGTATAACATAAATACATCTCAGCGACGCACGCTTCAGAGAACAGGCTGCAAGCTATTTGCCCTTGGTAAAAATAATCATGTGTCCTACTTCTCCTTCTTCTTTTCGCATATCTATAATGTGAACTTCAACATTCACTTCATAGAGCAGCCACACCAGTGATAATAACTCATTCAGGAATCCCTAGCAAGAATATATATTTAGTAACCTTAAACATGTTCTTAGTACATAGCAGCTCAACAAAGCCTCATCGAGCTATCTAGATTGCAGAGAATGAGAATATGGAGTATGTCATCAAGAGCAACATTGGAAGTGCAAAATATATATTGGGAACGTTCTCATCGCAAATTGACTACTCAGTGCTGGCAGGGCCAAAGATGGGAAGATTGATAAGATAAAGTGGGGTAGAATCAGGTGACCGGGGGGGGCCCCAGTTCCAGGGATGGAACGGGGAATGTTTCCAATTTAACCAACGCGCTATGAGTAGCTTGAGCGGAGCGGGTTCAGAAGCCGAATTACCAGGAGGTGCGAGGGAGAGAATATGAGTCACTTGCTTGTGAGGTATAATCTGGATCCATAGCAAGGCCTCAGTTAAAGGTGGTCAAATATTTTAGTGCTACACGTCGCGTCATAGTGGTGTCGGTAAACGGTTCATTTAACTGGTATGGCTGCCAACTCTGGTGGATAACACGATGATATAAATGGCTATGTCTACATGTGTCGACAAATGATATAATATATGATGTGTAGAAGGTCGTGAATATTCCCAGAAGACATTCAATATGAGCGGTGAGTTTGGCTCTTCTCATCCACTCATCGTCCCACCTGACCCTTGGAGAACGGAGTATTGTGGGGTAGGAGTATTGGCGTGTTGTTCGAGATATTTTTCCAAGACCCTTGGCGACGCTAAGCCACCTTACGCTACGAGTCAGGAAATTTCCTCTGGTTTTTCTTTTCTTTTGGGAACTTGAGTCGTCCCCCAAAATCTGGCACCGAAGCTCTGCCAAGGTGCCTTGTGCAAACTCCATTGCGGGAAAAGGAACCACATTTCGAGGCGCAGACATTCATCAAGTGAGTGGTACTTACCTTCCTATAGTCACCTTTCATTTGCTATGAGATCTAACAATTCTCCACCTCGCCGATAAGGCGTTAGTTGCGGAGAACCCTATCGCACGGATACCACCACGGCTTCAAGATGACAACCGACGATCCCCTCGACCTACTGAGATACAAAGCGGAAGTGAAACCTACCAAGCGGTGGATGCCTCTAGTCAGCACCTTAGACGAAAAGAACGATTTCTACGTGCAACAGAATGAATTGATCGATGGATTTCTGCAGAGTAGCCAGGAGGAGCGGATGGAGGCAGAAGATCATGCCGAGAACGGAGGGAAAGTCAAATTAGCCGTGCGGGCCAGTTTTGTGGTCAACTTCTGCTTGTTTGTTATTCAACTGTATGCCGCCATATCTACCGGCTCCTTGTCGCTTTTTGCGACCGCCGCGGACGCGTTCATGGACCTCGTCTCCTCCATCATCATGTTAATCACCTCGCGCATGTCCACGAAGCCCAAGCCCTACCAGTATCCGGTGGGACGCAGACGAGCAGAAACGATGGGAGTTATTATGTTCTGTGCTTTGATGACAACCGTGGCGATTCAGCTCATCATTGAATCCGCTAAATCGCTAGCAGCCGGCGAGGTGGATTCAGAAAGCCTCGATATAATCCCCCTCATATGTGTTGGAGTGGCTATCTTTTCCAAATTCTGTCTGTTTGTATACTGTTTCAGTTTACGCCGCTATCCCGCAGCCCATGTCTTTTACATCGATCACCGCAATGACCTAGCAGTAAACGGGTTCGGCCTAGTCATGGCTGTTGTCGGTGAACGGTTTGTGTGGTATCTTGACCCGGTCGGTGCGACATGCATCGCACTTCTCATTCTGTATTCATGGGTCTCTGAAGCCTTCGAGAATATGTGGCTGTTGATTGGCAAAGGTGCCCCTCGAGAATTTATCAACAAGTGCGTCTACGTGACGATGACTCACGATTCCAGGATTCAGAAGGTTGATACGGTAGGTTTGTGTCAAATGTTCTCTCTGCTTGCTAATATCTAATTGCCTCTCCTCAGTGTCGAGCATATCATGTGGGTCAACAATTCTACGTCGAGGTGGATATCGTGATGGACAAGGAAACCAGGCTCCAGGAATCGCACGACGTGAGCCAAGAACTCCAGCGGAAACTGGAGGGCCTTACTGGCGTTGAACGCGCTTTCGTCCACGTTGACTATGAATATTTGCACGATATCCATGAGGAGCACAGACCTATTTACGACACCTCCGGACCCAGTCCTTCCATCAGATCTATAGTGAAAAAATTCTTTACCTTGAATAACAAGGCCCTGGATGGGGACCAAAGGGTCTAAGTCCCGCCAAGGGTTGTTCCCATTACGAGCAGATAGCTTGGCTATCAGGAACCGAGAGCTTGGTTTTTCAAGAGGCATATTTCCTTTTCTTGGACTAATGCCAAGTCATACGTAGGTGAGTTAATAGTCGGGCCATATAGAGGCTGGTATCTTCATCAGCCTGGCTAAAGCTAGATAAATAAAAGGGACATTTTTCTGTCCCTGATATGTGGCATAATTGGACCTTCAATAAAACTGTTGTGGAGATAGCTCCTGTGGGTCATGCCTGGGGCTGAGCTTGAGCATAGTCTGGTATATTCTCTTGCTACTGAATCCCTCTATCTGTCTTTAATTCGCCATTGCTTTGGACTTTAGATGGGTTAGGGTGGTATGGTCTTCTAAAGCCAGAGAGTGGTGATAGGTTTGTTGCTATATGCCCACCCTTACTACGACATTGTTCTTTTTTTGCTTTTGTTATAGACAGGGAAGAGAATCCGCAGTAGGCCTTTTACCGTAACCTTCTATCATAAAAGCACATCGGGATTAGCTTAGTACTTATGGCTTATCCGTCGGGCATTGCATGTACGATGTCAACCGAAGGGCGCGATGGCGCAACCATTCCAAAATTGTTTGTAATTCTCCAGTTAAAATGTGATCGCATCCTTTATCTTAAAGATTCACAGTCAACATAAATTTCCCTCCTATCTTCATTTCCACTTTACAAAGCCAGCTTATATCAAAAAATGACTGGTCAAAAGGAAGTGCCAATTGAGCAAGATGCCGAGGCTGGTGCGCTAGAATCGCCTTCAAGGACACCAAATGACCAGACCATGGAGCAGCTGGACATATTCGAAGCTCCCCAAACCCGCACCAAGCTGCGTATCATCGCTATTATAATCGCGCTCAATGTACTTGAATATCTCCCGGTCCTTTCTCAGCCTAATAATTGGCTAACAAATCTCCGATTCTCTAGCTCGTCCTGTTCGTAGGAGCACTCGACCAGACCATCGTTGCGACTTCAATTCCCACAATCTCGGCAGCTCTGCACTCCGCAGCAGGTTATACCTGGATCGGAGGTGCATACCTGTTAGCCAACGCCGCCACAGCGCCAATGTGGGCCAAATTCAGCGACATCTGGGGTCGTAAGCCGGTTCTCCTCGGGGCGGTAGTGTTCTTTACCATTGCGAGCATAATTGCAGCACTCAGTAAGAACATGGAGATGTTAATTTCTGCACGAGCACTCCAGGGGGCAGCTGGCGGAGGTCTGATGCAATTAGTCTTTATCGTCATCTCGGACCTCTTCAGTATACGCACCCGCGCGTTGTATCTAGGTATGATGGGGTTTACTTGGGCACTTGCAGGATCTGCCGGTCCACTTATCGGTGGAGCATTTACGGAACTTGTTTCCTGGCGGTGGTGCTTCTGGATAAATTTACCCGTGTGTGGGCTCTCGTTCATACTCTTGCTGCTTTTCTTGGATGTGCACAATCCTCGCACAAAGCTAAGCGAAGGTATCGTTGCCGTTGACTGGCTAGGCACGATCTGCATCCTAGCAGTGACTCTACTATTACTCTTGGGATTAGATTTCGGAGGCGCAATATTCCCCTGGAGCAGTCCGAAAGTCATCTGCCTGGTTGTAATTGGGACAGCAATGATCGGGTTCTTCGTGTTCAGTGAGAAACGACTGGCCAAGTACCCGCTGATGCCTCTCAGCATATTCAAGCACTGGTCCAATAACGCAATCATCCTTGTCGCCTTTGCACACAGCATGGTCTCCATCGGTGTGGAGTTTTACCTCCCGTTGTACCTGCAGAGCGTCAAGCAAGCCTCACCACTCCGCAGCGGTATCCTGATAATACCAATGATGGTAACCGAAGCGGCTGTGGATATACTGTCGGGAATCTTGATCTCTCGAACGGGCCGTTACAGAGAGATCACCTGGGCCGGGTTAGCCCTCATGACATTGGGAACGGGATTATATATCAACCTCGGGATAGACACTCCTGTGGCAATGATCGTTGGATTCGAGATAATCGGCGGCATCGGCACCGCACTTCTATTCCAAACACCCGTCATCGCCATCCAGAATACGGTCAGTCAGGCCGACACTGCCTCCGCTACGGCGACTATGAGTTTTATCCGCAATCTAGCGACATCCTTGTCTATCGTTATCGGTGGTGTTATATTCCAGAATAGTATGGATACTCGCCATTCATCCCTTGGGGCCGCCGGTCTCAGTGGATCCGTCCTCGATGCCTTGTCCGGCGATCAAGCAGCGGCAAATGTCGAGATTATCAAGTCTATCCAGGATACCGCACAGCGGCGAGCGGCGCAGGGTGCTTATGCTTGGAGTCTCCGGAATATATTCATTATGTACACATCCGTTGCGGCTGTTGGGTTAACGGCGGGCGCTTTTATCCAGCAGCGACATATGAGCACGGAGCATACTGAAACGAAGACTGGAATACAGCAGTTGACGAAGCGGGAATCTAAAAGCTAGTGGTAGAATTATCCAGTATAGCTGGGCTTATTTCTTAGTAGGAAACATCGTTATGCGGTCTTTTCCAGGGGAGTCCGTGCTCGATTATGGATTCTGGGTGTGATTTAACACGAAGTGCTGATACTGGGGTTTCCAGTCCAATATGGAGATTTCACCAATGTACGCCCACGGTGGTCCGATCAGAAGAACAAAACTTGACATCTGCTCGACTGATATCCTGAGCTGTATGGATTGCACTTTTCAGCTAGATAGGGCCTAGGGATGCTAACTTCCTGGAAGTATGGGAAATAAGTCAATAAGAGTCTCAGAGGTCTGCAAATTGAACGCACTTATTATTCGGGAGATAGTCGGGTGTCAAGTCCCAAATGTGATGACCTTTCCACCCATCGTATTCACTAGATGCCAAGGTGTCTTTACAATGCCAGCCATGGCGCAGCAGAACATACTTATATTTGTAGTTCAAATAAACAGAAATCCCTGACAGCAATCGTGCTTGCTTCTCATATTCCTGAGGATCTTATATCACAGTGTAATGAACAGCTGCATAATGAGACGTGACAATCATCAAGAAAGTGCAACATAAACCATATGGAGGCAGCTGTTCCTAACGAAAGACAAAGTAGCACGACATAGATATACCGAACTAGAAACAACCCTAGCAGTAAACCCCGAACCGACATTAATGACTCCGGTCCTTAAAGGCCACGGGTTCTGGGACAGTCTATGCGCTACGGCAGCCGCCCTCGCAATTGCAATTGAAGATGTTGCATTCTGTGTACCAATGTTAGCTTTCAATGTACGAGGGCTCAGTGCAAGATATGGGCAGTACTCACGTCCATATGCACAAGATGGGGTTCCAAGAGTACCATCCGCACATTTCTGTCTCAATGGTTAGTTTGACATGTGTAGTGTTTGGTTTGGGGATACTAACACCGTCCGAGTCAGGGGGGCAGCACTTCTGAGTCCTCTCTGGAGAGTCAGAAGCAGGGAGAGGATTCGGGTGTGCCAAGGCGAGGGTCACGAGGGCAAGGAGGCTGAGTGCGTATGAGGCCTTCATTTTTGTAGAAGTTCGCAGAAGACCTGGTAATCCTCGGTCGTGTTCGTCCGGTGACTTTGAAGAATGAGAAAGATTTGGGAGTTGAGTGAATTGGAGAAGCACCAGTTCGGAGGCCCTACGACCTCTTATTTATAGACTGGATGAGACTCGGTCAAGAAGGAGCAGACCATGGTCTTTGTGTTCTCCCTCCCGAATGACCTTGGGTGCTTCATCCCTCATGCAGAGTCACTGAGAATAATTGATGATATGTTTTCTCTATCTTCTATTCTGCAATACTGTTTCTTGCTTACCTGTTCTGGGTCTCTATTTTCTCCTTTCGTTGAGCCTGCAGAGTTTGTCTGCTTTTCTTCAAGAATACGAATGCAAGCTTTGTCTCTTACGTACGGCATACATTAGCCTTATAGAGCCCGTCATGGATTGCTCCCATGTTACCCATATTTCTCTTAAGTGCTTATCAATACAGACCAAAAGCTTTCAATCGACATCTCTAGCCTCACCGTATTTATCATCCATATGCTGGATACAGTACGAGTGCAATCTTCATCCGCATATGTGCGTGGTCTAGCAGACTTGTCCGAGTTAAATACTGTGTAATAGGCCTAACCCCTTTCTTCTCATGCCAAAGGACAGCCCAAGCATAATATCGGGTAGTGACTTTGACGAGTTAGTCATTACAATTGTCAGCCAATGCACTTGATTTTTTTCGAGTGGCCACAAGCACTAGGACAGGTATAGATCCGTACTTTTGGGCCTTGTGGTGTTGTCAACCGTCTCAAGTCCGTTCCTCATCCCCTGCGGCTAGGTACTCTTCCTATCTCAGACCTAGTTTTGCATTTGTTACTTATTAATTTATTCTCGCCGAGATCCGCTTCACAATTGCGTCAAGTGTAAGCGGTTATCGTAGTCCACGACGACAGCACTCAGTCGCTAGCAATCCATGCAGTGAACGTTACTCTCATCGCATGGGAAACCAAGCTGGGGCGTGGGTATCCTTCGGCCGCTGCTCTTATATAATTGCTTCTTAGGAAGCTGTTATGGATGAGCATGGAGAGGTATTGACAGTCCGTTCATATGACGTCGCACTCACATCACGCACATGCATCGAATGTAAACGGACGTTTAGTCAGGCTCATATCGTTTGCACTCTCACCCTATTGCCCGTCCACTTATTGGCTATACCGCACGCGGGAAGTGGAGTGCCAGAATGGATGAATAATCACACCTGAAGAGAGTACAGGCCAACCAAACGTCTCGATTTCCATATTAGTCTCCCACATATATTGGAGCTTTGCAACAACGCCGTCGTCGTAATCCCGATAATTCAAAGCTTCGCAGAACTGTAACATTGCCCTGTGCCAATCAGAGTAGAAGAGGTCCTCCTCATCGGAATCTGGAGATGGTGGCTCCTCATGACTACTCACAGAAGGGCCTTCTTGTTCTAGTATCTCCCTCAAGGCGGGAGGTGCATCGGACTCACTCACAAACGGCACTGTTCGAAGCTTCGGAAATATCCTGCTCCACTCAGTAACAAGAGTCTGGAATTTGGTCCCTCGCCGTATGTGTCGTGGGTTCTTTAGGAATATATTCTCAAAGCGAATGATTTCCAAGTGGTGGAATGGAAGTGTTTGCGTCAGTTGGGCGAGAGAGATGTATAAATTCGCGGAAGGCAGCTCAAGGAAAGTCAGGCGCGGGCAGTGCTGTGCAAGGTCTTGAAGCTCTGTGCCATACATCCGGAACGCCGAACCAAGTTTCAAGAACTCCAAGCGAGGAAGAGCTTTCAATATGTCCAATAACAGGGGTTCGTTCACCTCACTGACCCCGGTATAACCCACGGAAAGCTTTTGTAAAAGCGGGCAGCCACGCGCGATGTCCAGGAGGAAGTGTATATTCGGATAATTACCATGAATGTTACCAAGAAGGAGGGCTGGGATATCGATGGCCCGTAGGTTTTTGCATTTCGCAACCGCTTCGACTAGGATTCTGCTGCTAAATATACTCCTGTCGGGATGCGGCAGTAGCTTGATGATTTGCAGCTCCTTGAATCTTGGGAATTGCACCCCACCAATCTTGGTTCGCACCCCAAAGGTACAACGCTTTTAGTTTTGGCCATAGGGATTCGCCTTCCTCTCCTATCAACGGGTTGCCACAACCTTCGGTGTTCAGTGCTAACGCCTTGAGGTTTATTTGTCCTCGGAGGTGCGGCAGGAGGTGACTTGCGAGTTGCCCAGATTTGAAATAATCAAAGTCCAGGCCATTCCTCGACGTGGACAAACTCCAGATCACGAATCATAAGCAATCGATAGAGACCACCTGCTGCAGGTCGATCTTCTGATATGTAAACTGTGAGAGCTTTGGGGTTTTTTGAAACCATCCTGTGGTGTTTAGACATATTCCTTATAAATTGCGGTCATGGTTCAGACAAGACTCACATTTGGGCCGCCAACTTGCTTGTAGCATACTATGTGTGTACAGTCATGGTTATTAATGGCCAGAAATCCAATGCTTTCTTGACCAAGGTAGTCACAGATGTACTCCACATTATGATGCACCAGCTCAAATGGAATCATGATACTTGAGATACCCTTTGGTTGTGCCCGCAGAAGGAGCCTGGACTCTTCGCGATGACGCATCATGCGGGGTTTCTCAAAGCACTTAGGCCTACCACATGAGCCTCCGCAATTAGTATATGCTGGCTGCTCTGGAGCAACGAGAAGATGCTTCACAAAGCTCATATTCTGGACAAAGCGCTGGCGTGATGCTACAAGAGACAATTGAGTAATGCAATGCCAGGCGTACGGAATTGCATGTCGTTCAGGGAGCCCCGATATAGTTTCTTCAAAGCTGGCATCATCCACATACTATTCACGCGGGCACAGGCCAAGAGGTCTGAGGCTGTGTCAACATTTTCAATGATAAGTGCGACGATCTCTGCGATCAAGAGTGCGCTTCGTGTGGATTGATAAGAATTGGCAACCATTTTAAATGAGAAGAAAGGGAAGAGGCAATAGCGATGCCCCGGTGGATGATGATTCTGCCAGCCAATGAGCGATTCTGTGCCAGGGCGTAAGGAAAATGCAAAACAATATTCACATGATATGAACTCTGTGGCCTTTGGAAAAGGAGCTTCATCAAGGCATAGGACATCCGCCTAGGACTATACTAACGCTAGTCTTATGCCCTGACGACGATTCCGCGCCGTCCTTTGCGTTGATCAGCTGACCTAAAATCTGAGGATGGCCATGCTTGGTTAGCGGTACACATGATATATATGCTATACGCTATTCTAATTATGGGTTGGCGTGCCTCCGGTTGCCTCGCCAAGATTTCCATTCGACGCCCTGCTTTAATGGCCACGGATTGAGGACACGATGGGGGGCCTGAGAGAAATTGTTCCCGTATACCAACTGAACCACCACTCCGGCCGGTACACACTTGACATGTCATTATCAAGGGCAACCACGAACCAGAGATGCACCAGTCAAGCCAGATCTATCACTTTTTCGTCTTCGTCCCTTTGATCTAAATTGGAGAGACCCGGAGAGGAAACATAGAACAGAACAAACATTATCCGAGCGACGATCGTCTAGAAGGGCTCGACGGCCCTTCTCCCTACTTTCTTAAACCGGGGCAGGTTTAAGGTTATAATCTCTTGTCCATAGAGAACCAGAGATCACCGGGCATTGCCAGAATCTAAGTTCAGCGCTTTCGGTGCTGTTCTGGAAACAAATTCCGAGTTGATCTATCAAGATGTTTTCATTGCTGCGGGGAGTTATCACTTCACATCAGCTCAGTACATACTTAGAAATAATATGTAAATAAGATTAAAAAAAAA